ACTGAAGGGCGAGAATGAACCTGAGCACTTATACTCCGAAGGCTTCTAATCTCTGCTCCTAATTCCTTACTAAGTTCTGGTGAAGCCTTTCTTTGGTCCAGGAAACAATACCACCGCTACCCCACTTTTCTCTAAGTGTCAACAGGTGTTTCCGATACCCAAGGCAACTACCCTTAGGCAAAGCCTTTATAACACCTGCAGCTTTGGTTGTCACACAACCGGAGCCTGTATGAATGAGCTGCCGTTCAGGTATAAGCTTAATCATTGCTGTAGAGCTTTCGCTTATTGTAGACTTCCCTGGCATAGTCCCTGCCACTATCGGCGATCTTACAATGCTCAGAGGATACAGAGGATCACCGGGCAATCAGAGCTTCACTCTGGCCAGCCTTCTAATCACTGGCAAGGCATAGACTCGTCAGTCATTGCTCCCATGAATAGATCCCCTTCCTAGCGCCCGAAATGTAGTTACTCTAACAGCTGGTAGCTAAACACACACTGCCGGTACTTGCATATCACCGTGCAGTTGGCTTCTAACAATAACTCTCAGCATGTAACCGGGCCCTGTGTGTACTCATACACCAGACAGTTGAAATGGCTCTGTTACAGCTGGGAATGATAGAGATGCAATATTATTGTCCTCTTGGTTTATGCACCATAACTCTATGAGTTTTCGAGATTAAGACAAGTCCTTTTCACAGTATCTTGCTGGATAACCTCCCAAAATTACCAATTTAACTCTTGAAAACTGGTTGTGTTGTTGCCTATCAGTTTTAGGTGTGTAAAGGTGTAGTTGAGGTGTGGTGAAGTTGCAGTTACCCTACTGCCAAGCCTGTTCCACCCACCAAACCTGACTTGTCACCTTTTGTCACCTTTATGCGTGGGCGCACCATACCTGTATCATTACTCTATATAGGTATCTTTCAACCTCTACCGCTCAAAGGACGTATATATATGCGGGCACCCTTCGAAAAATGCTATATATCTGAGCCCCTACCGCTTCCTATCTGTAAACCAACCTCGTCTGGGCGGCGCCATACAACCCTCCCCCACATCTCATTGAGACGAATCCACCGGCCCAAACTCGCAAACATGAGTGAGATCTCATGATCCAACTAATATTCAGGGAACGCGTTTTCCAAATAAAACAAGGTACGACCGGATACTGCGACACTGGATCTGCTTCTTCGAGACATATATATAGAGCCTTCGCTGCCGGAGAGATTCGATTGTCAAATGTGAGTGAGATTTCATGATTCAACGGGAAACCAGGAGCGGGGATATTGTAACAAATCATCCGGGGGTATCATTACTTTGAGCTTTTATCCTTTGGAGCTAGGACCTTAGCAATCAAACTCGTACGTATCATTGCGAAAGAGACAAAATGACGAAGTACTAACCCTAACCCTTATAAGATTTATCTATCTCTGCCGTTCACCTAGATCACCGCCTTTGCAATCCAAGTAGTAACATCGGGTTTAGGGCCACAGCGCCTTGTAATTGATGGAAGAGTACCGGGTGTCACTTTATGTGCGGAAGGTTGGTCCAAAATAGCTGCTGGATCTGTTAGTGACTGACTCAATGTTTAAAAAGACCACGTGCACCTAAGCCTGGATTTTGAAGTTGACAATTAATACATAATGCCGTGCGGGCCTGAAACTCTAAAATACAAGAAATAAAACAGAGACGCGGCTTGTGTATATGGAGAAAGACAAGCTAGTTTAAGAAAATAGTTTACGACCAAGAACACTGTGGCTACTTTCAACTTCAAATTAACGACGTCCACATTTTTCTATCTTTGTCCTCCGGTAAAGTCACCTATAGCCATCGGCGCCGTCCACGGGAAACTCGAGGCAGAACCTTTGAACTTGTTTCACTTGTAATTCCCCGTCTAGCTTCGGTTTCTTAGATCAGCGTGTGCTGCCGATTCTAGAACGCCTAACTATCTTTTATCCTCAATCCAAATCTCAAAATTTTGCAAATACCACAAAAAGACATGGTAGAGGGAGCTTATGAGTCTAAAGTCAGTCCAATGGCTTTTTCGCCGGACGGAAGGCGTGAAAAGTGGCTAATACCATACAGGTACCTGAAGCCGCAACTTGGGTCAATTTTCCGGTGCTAATACCAATAGCAATTCAAGATAATGGCTTTCAATAATTTACAGATTCCTGCCCCTAAAAAGATAAAGTTAAAAAAGACAAAGGACTCCAATAGGCCACATTCAGAATTTGTGGCGTTATTTATCCCCCGTCACGCATGCGGCGCAACCAGACAGAGAACTAATCACGAATCTCCTATTTCATCCCCTTTTGGCCAGATTATTACTGCCCTCATCGGTAATATCATCCTAGTCTTATCCCGTTACACATATTAGCACCACTTAAGCTTGCAGCTTGCCTAAGGTCCAACTACATGCATTAAATTCTGTGTTCGTAACTAACAACGACTGTGATAGCACCATTTGAAATCCGAGTCCTGAGGCTTCTGATAGTGCTATATCCATGTTTATCTGAATCCCGTGATCATCACCGTACCGGCCGAGTCGAATCGCGGAATTCCGTATCACGGCAAATAGCAACACACCACAAAACACCAAGAACTCCTCGGTTCTCGGGTATTTACCCTTCCGCGGCATGCCGCCTTCGAAAGTTTTATAAAGACCTTGTTTCCTCATCTAACTCTGATAACTAAACATCAAAATTCAAGGTCGATAACAAATCCTCGCTCTATATAGTTGAAGGATTTGTTGTATTGTATAATCAAAATGACACCGAAAAACCTTCTCATCTTTGGCGGAACGGGCCCCTCGGGCGTTGCCACGGTAAACCTCGCCCTCGCCCATGGCCATACCGTCATAATCCACGCCCGCAACCCCGATAAGCTCTCCCCAGAAACTCTCGCCCACCCAAATATTAAGGTCTTCAAAGGAGAGCTTACAGACACTGCACCTCTCTCTGCCGCATTTGCACAGAAGCCAGATGCCGTGATATCATTGCTTGGGCCTACCGCGTCTGCGTCGCTGATGCCATGGACGATTGGAGATACGTTTACAGATGGATATCGCCGTATTGTGGCTGAGATGAGGAATAATGGAGTCAAGAGGATATTGGCAATGGGAACAGTATCTATCTATGTCCCGGAAGACAAACCATCTTTGGGACGAGGTTTGTGGTGCTAATTCTAGGATTGACTGTGGCCGAGGCTGACATAGATGGCTGACAGCGTTTCTTGTATGGATTGTGTATCTACTGGTACATGCGGCGTGGAGACAGATTATAGGGATCAGTGAGCTCTTCCAAAAGGAGGCTCAGGATCTAAATTGGACTATCTTCAGAATTGGAAATTTGGGCAATGGTAAGTCCTCCCTCGTTCCCGGTTGGAGGAGAGGGGCTAATATCAGTATTTGTGAAGGCCCAGTTGGTGAGATTGCGGAAGGGTATGTTGGGGATGGGAATACAAGTCTAGGAATTCAGAGGTCTGAGCTAGCTGAATGGCTAGTGGGAGAGGCCGAGAAAGATGATAGTCGATGGACCAAGGGATTTCCATCGGTGAGCACGGCGCTAAAGAAGAAGGTTTAGAACAATAAGAGGAGTATAAGAGTGGTTTTTTCCTGTGAGACTTTGAAGGGATTGGGGTAATGGGAATTCGGAAAGTGGATAACTGCATTCGTTTCATGACTTCTTTGAACTTTCTTTTGACACCTGTTGAGATTGAGAATAACTTTGATTCTAGAACCGTATCTACAAAACATAAGGGATATCTATGAAGCTCGGCTCCTGTGATGTTGACCGAAGGCCCCCGCACAGATTAAAATGGCTGAATATCTCAGATTTAAATATCAGTGGTAACTCATACATAATCAGTACATTCTCTGAGCACTAAAATCATCTCAAACGATCTTAATTCTAACCCCGGCTTCTAATTTGTTAATACATTTATTTTCTATCTGACCCGCCAAGCACACACCCAGTTATAAATCTATTACCGGTCTACATTCCGGGTACATGAGCGTCTACTCTATTGGTGTTACATTTGCACAGTGCATATAGAAAATAATGGTTCTAGGATCTACCCTCCAAACCTATATTAGTTTTTGAGCTAGATAGAGCAAGATTAGTTGTTTATCCGGTACCAGATATTCACATAACCATTGGAATAACTAATAGCTAGAATTCTAAGCCAGTAGGATACCCTGTTCGACACTAGACCAAGGAAGCAGGAGTAGAACTATTTAGTACCAATACTACGAGAAATTCCTTGATAATTGTAGAAGGTAAAGTTCGTTTAGTTTTATAACGCAAAACTAAAACCCGCATCTCATTAGCCTGAAGAGGATACCAAAAAGGGAGAATATTTGGAACTCGCTGCCGGGCATGCAAAGCAATTAGTCCGTAGATGGACAGTTTTTCCTAAAAGTGTCGGTGTGAAATTTGTATATCGGGAGATGGCTTGAACTTGAAGGCCTGTCCTCGTATAGACCGCATACACAACGCCGCCGCGGTCCTTGGCGGTGGCTGTGATTGTGTGCGCGCGGGTTGTTTGGCTGCGTTTGGGGATGCTTCATCATAGCATTACGCTTTAAATGCGAACTGCATGTTGATGTATCCCAACTTGCGATGACAGGCAGTACTTGGAGCTGTTCTTGGAGCATTATCTATTAAACTGGACAATGACAAAAGTACTTCTCAATTAACCTCGCCCGCATCATGTAGCTAGTCTATGGTATTCACCCGGTTCCCCGCAATCAAAAGAGCCAAGTGATATCCAACTTCCACATATATGTGTTTATAGCTTATTCAGACTTGTTTTTTCTGTGCCTGGAGATCCTCGGTAAGATCGTCCCCGAGCTACATGCATGCATACCTACATGTAGTAGATCATCCGTCTTGCATACATTGAGCTAGAGTAGGCAGGTACCTGAAGCACATATACTTGTGTGGGATTTCATAAATACCTGCAATACGCCCACCATTTTCATAAGTCCCAAAGTAAATAGAACAGAAATGATTAAGCTCGTCCGTGTCTTCGCATTTTCCGCCGCCTTCGCGGCTGCCTACGCCTACGCCGTAGCGGCACCCCCCACCTCAGCTGACCTCGAAATCATCTCAGAAAAGCTCGAAGCAGCTGAAATTGTTCCGGATGTTATACCTTACTTCGGGCCTTCTGCGCTCGCGTATCTCAGTTTCGACTATAAAAACGGAACTGCCGTAGCCCTTACCCCCGGAGCTCGCATTGGTCGCAACGGTACATATAGGTTTCCTGCATGATGCTTGTTGCATGAGAGCTGATGTTGTAGATAGACTCCCAGATCGCACCCATCATTTCAATTCGCGGCCTACAACCCAGCGAGACCGATAAGTACGTGGGTGTGATAGTAGACCCTGACGCACCCAGTCGCGAGACTCCCACCCGACGAAATATAAGACACTACATTGCCAGTGATCTCATCATTGGTTCCGAATGCTCGCCCAACGGTAACATCGTTACTAATACCACGGCTGCGGCGAATGAATATCGCGGTCCTAATCCGCCTGCTGGCTCAGGTCCACATAGGTATGTCGTGCCACCCGATGTATGTACCACATGATGCCCAATTACTGATTGAACTGAAACAGATATGTATTTTTCTTGTATCGTCAGCCAGAAGGCTTTGATGTTTCCTTCTCAGATCTGGATTTGAGCGTCATCGCGGAGTTCAACTTGACTGCGTGGGTGGAGAAGACGGGGCTTGGCGGGCCGGTTGCTGGGACGTGGTTTGAGGCTGAGGTCGTGAATGGAACGACCACTGCGGTAGTTTGATTGATCGATTGATATATATAGGGTTTTATTATAGTTTTTGCATGTTTGTCTGTGCTGTTGTTGGTCAGTTGAGTTAGGGCATGAAGGATCGAATACGAGGAGTAGAAGAGGAGAGGTTCAAGCTCACGGCTAGAGCCCGTATCTATTACATACCAAACTCCACTCGTGCAAAAGACAGCTCACCCAAAAGGCATATCTATGTCTCACACAGTGCTCTGCCGCACTCTTAATGGTACTAGAGCATCCTGGCATGATTGATCGACAGGTCCTTTCAGCACTTTGCAGTGTTCTTTTCTTTGCTTTTCTCTTCCTCGGCCAGTGGCGATGCGTTGTTGGTAGGCTGTTCTTGGCCTCTGAGGTTGGGCTGAACAGGTTGGAGACTCGACGATTGACGCAATGACCACGCCACGACTATTGGGGAGTTAGTACATAAGGGAGCTGGTTTTCTCCCAAACATCAACCAGCGCCTCCTCCTCATCGTCGAGACTTTTCATCAATCTCTCCAACTGGTATGCTCCTTTCTCCTGGCATTGCGCTCGCCGAGCTCATGCTAACACCGCCTAGTCCATCACGATAATCATCATGAAGCTTCTCATCATCACCCTCCTCTTGGCTCTTCTCCTGACACTCGTCTCCGCGCTGCCAACAGATAAGTCTTTCTGCCCCGGGCCCTCGCCTGCTCCATCGGAGTCCACGCCCGCCAAAGTATGTCCAACGGGTACGTACGAGGGCTGTGTCAACAATTTCGTTTGTGCACAATCATACCCGGAATCGTGCCATTGTAAGAACAAGAACATACAGACGTGTGCGGAGGCCTGCGATGTTCCAACCCCGAAGTTAGCTGTCTGTGGTAGTTCTGGGCCGCAATGATTAAGATGTGGGAGGATTTTTCATGGGTTGATATGACTGCTTGAGTAATGCTAGTTGGGAACGAAAAGTCGGTGGTCTCATGTTGGGTTATCATGATGCTCTATATATATATCTTTCTGTATATTACAGAGAACTAAATTCAGACGAATTTCTGCTTCTTACATACCTTTCCATGATATCTTACCCCACAATTCTTGGATCATATGTGCAAATAAGCTTAAAAAAAAGCCCACTCTCACTAGAGTACATTCCCCCTATTGATGTGTATGTCGGCTGTAGGTACCCAATTAGTGAACTTCCCCCATTCAATGTCTCACACCCCACAAATTAAATCTGGGACGACTTCTGTCGCCTGCATGAAAAAGGAGAGGTCGGAGAAGTCTGCGAACACCGATATTGCTCCGTCACAGGGCTAGGGATATCGACACCAAATCCTTGAACCTAGGAGGTTTGATCGATATTTGTGACAGCGGGCGCCCGCGAAATAAACTCGCGGGAAAGAAGAAAGGGGATTAGTGGGTAATTAAGCCGGTGAAGCATGGATGGTACATATGATTATTTATTCATAAAGGAACAGAATAGGGGGAAGCATATATTAGGATTGAGCTAGAGTGAGATACATTACCTTAATTCCAAGATGATGGTAATTTTGAAGGAATGGTATTTTGTCATACTTGTATTTTATTCCCTCATCTGTAAGGTCTCTGTTTCTTGCCATTCCTGCTGTTTCGGTCACTATGGGCGCTTGGATTTTCCTGGGTTATGATCCGGGTGGTGTAAGCTATGTACATAGTTGAGATGATGAGCTGAGTGCTTCTGTTCTCAAGCACTGTGTGTTAGCCGAGCGTGCTTCGCTAGTCGCCAAAATAGAATGACGTTAGTACGCTATGAGGAAGTGTGGGAGAGTAAACGTAAACTCTTCACGTCTTTAAGCGGATACTTTTGAACTTATCAACCTCATCTCATCCCAATCCATAATCTCCTATCGGCTACGAATGGGTTCCAGGGCTGAAGCCATCGCTCTCCACAACTGATAATTGCTCGAGAAATAGAATTTGAACTTGGGGTTAACCAATTGCACAGAAATCGATGGTTCTATCAAGTCAGGGTTTTGAAACAATGACAAGCTACTATCTCATGTTTAGCTAGCTGTTGATCAAATCAAATTTGGGTTATCATTCTTAGTACTAAGACTACAGAAGTCAATTCATCCAGTTTATGATTGAGCGGCAAAGTGCGTGGTTTCTCTCGTTGCATCATGGATTATCACTTGCAACTTGGCAAGTTAAAAAGGTCGGTGATGTCTGCGATCCTTATATTTGTCGGATTGTTGATATAAAAGTCTTCAGGTCTATGTAGGTTCCAATTTATATAGTCTCCAGTATATAGCACGCACTGCACCGTGCCGACTCCGCCCAACCGACTCCCGAGATGCCCAGTTTTCGGTTCGCATTATTCCGAACCCTCACCCCTGGTACGACACACCGAATATGTGGGGAAAGAGCTAAGCATTTAGCCCCAGGCGGAAATCTTTACTCCATCCCACCGAGTTGCATACACAGATACTGGGGAAATTTAGCCTCGACCCAGATGCGGCCTTTCTCGCTGCAAAAGTACAGCAGAAAAACAGGAACAGATTCCCTTGATATTAATATTTATCCCCCTTCATCCGGGGAAAGGGAAAAGCTCAATCTACGCAACCTGGTAGCGAATGAAATTATGGAAGATAAATAAACTGCTGGTTCCGCCCCCGACTCGTTGTTCCATCCACAGCTCCATCATCCTCCAAAATCTCGCCACAATGAAGGTTTCAGTTCTTCTCTCACTCCTCGGTGTTTCGTTCCAGATTGTAGCAGCTGCCCCAGCAAAGCACCAGAAAGCTGCCGAGTCGAAGCCTTCGGTGTTCCTTTTGGCAGGAGACTCCACGACTGCTACTCAGTCTACCGGTGGCGGGGGTAAGTTATTATACACCAGCCTGTTTTTGGTTTGGGCGAATTCTGATCTTGTGTGTAGGTTGGGGTGATGGATTCAAGAACTTCACACTCAAGGCGCCGAGCTTTGCCATAAACTATGGTCACAATGGTGCTACAACGAGCTCGTTCATGTCGGGAGGGGATTGGGCGACAGTGTTGGGGAAGGTAGAGGCATATGCTGGTAACAGCACCGTTTATGTTACGATCCAGGCATGTCACTGCATTAGAATCCTTGAGCAGAGCATGTTGCTAACGCTACTGTGGTGTATTAGTTTGGGCATAACGATATGAAACTCACCAATTACACTGAAACCTTCAAGACAAACCTCCGCCAGATGGTAGCCGATGTCAAAGAAAGGAACGGTGAGCCTGTATGTAACTCTTCAACATCAAGCGCGAAATTCTCAAGTTTCCCAAACTAACACCCCACAGGTCCTCGTAACCTCGCTCTCCCGTCGTAACTACAATGCCAACGGCACCATCGCCGATACCCTCGCCCCCTGGGCCGGGTACGCCATTGAGGTCGCCGAAGAGACCGAAACCAACTACATTGATCTGTGGAAGAATTCGGTCCACTACCTCGAGCAGATTGGCGTAGCCGCATCGCTAAAGCTAGCGCTGAATGATAATGACAGAACCCATCTAAATGTTCCTGGGTCGATTGTTTTTGGCAGGATGGTGAGTGATTTGTTGAAGAGGGAGATTCCTGCGATTGCGGCGGTAGTCAAGGAGAATGCTACACTGAGCGAGCAGATCTGGAGCGGGGTTGCCACTTTTTAAAGGGCTTGGGACGATCATCATTTAGACTTTAGATCCGACGCAATGTAATGTAACTACTTTGTACAGTTCGTAAATTACAAATAACGATTCCTCTCTGATGAAGGAAAGAGTACGTAGATTCAAAAGCTGCAAATGCTGTGAATTGGCCTGGGGAAGTTCCGACCACTCAGAGCACGCTAGAGCTATCAGCTTTATAAACCCACCACTTTGTACCCTTAAAATTACGGCTAATAACCCTCAAAAACGCAAAATACAATCTTATTAGCTTAGAGGGCTAGCTGCACCAGTAATTAACCCTACCTGCCAAAAACCTCCACGCAACCCTTGACCATACTCCACCTGGCGCTACACCTACATGTACTACACACACACACACATACACACACACCCCCCCATAGCCATGATACACATGCCCATAGGTTACATAGCTATATCTGCATCCGAGACAAGTAACGACGTTTCCAATATACAGTAACTGCCTTAAATAGTCTAATCAACATATGACACCCCATTCATGAGTCATCACTCGGCTTACCAAACTCGGGCAAACACTGCATATAACCACGGGCTGGATAACTGCAGGCACGCATACGTATGGCAGTACCAAATTGGCAAGTCTGGACCATGCACCCTGCGCTTGCTTCGCGTACTTGACACCCAGTAAAGTACTCGAGAGTGCCTAAGCGAAATTTCAAGTAAGGGATGATCCAGGAATATTGTCAAGCGAGGTTTCCTAGCTCTGGTTTTTTTTATGCCTTGGAATCGATTAATGCATTCATAAAAAAGGGAATATCCACAATATAAAGTACTACATGTATGCAAAGTCCAATGTTCTCCCCCCATGCGGGCCGCTATTTAAAGCTAGCCAATAATATATATGAAAATATCCTATCCCATCAAAAATTCCGCCATCGCAAGGAATATAAAGTAAAAGCTTAACCCCCCGTTTTTCTACATGTATCCCATGTCAATATAATGTATGTGTTACCCAAAACGCCCGTGACTAATGCTGCAAAGAAGGAGAAAGAAAGAAAGGAAGAAAGTGATTAAACAGATCCGGATCTATCCGTCTTCAGGACCGCTCTAGGCGGGAAAGAATACAAGTTGTCCGTCTCCGTCTCGGACTCTGTCCAGATTTGGGTTCCCAAGAAGTCTCCCCGCCACGGTGATTTCTTCGATCTCGACCGGCTGAGGGACTCGTCGAGGTTGATATCTATCTTCTGGACTACCTCTGTCCTGGTCTGTCATGTCCGAATGTTAGGGATGGTCTTGGATAGTTGCGTTTGAGCTGGGGATGGACTAACTTCAATCACAGATATCATTTCATCATTCCTCGTCAGAGACCCGACACTATCCTGGCCCGTTACAGGCATACGCCGTCGTCTCGCATATGAAGAGTTGAGCTGGTATTGGTCGTGTTCAGTGGCTGTGTGTTTGCGCACTTTTTGTATGAATGAGTTAACAACAGGCGCATTTGCGACCACGCAGGCCACAAAGCACTCAATTGAAGCCCATAGTGTGCGTGCCTTCTGTACAGACTGATCACCGATGATAACAGGCAAACGGACCATCGTGACGGCCATGACGAAAAATCCGAGGCCGAAGAGGACTAGGAGTTGAATCTTCCGGATGAGAGGGAGTCTGGATTTAAAGACCATAGGTAGAGGAATGAGGATGAGCAACGCATCAGTCAGTATATTGAAAGTTGCCATAGTAAATAGCTGTGCGACAGCTTTTACACACTCTATAAATTTCGTCAGTAACAGAAGGAAAAGGCGGCAATACTATTTTCTTTTTCTCACCTCCAGGATATGGCGATATTTGCCCTGCGATATATTAGTATGAAATATGGTTGATTGACCAGACTGAAGAGGACTTACAATATACAGGGAAGGGGCGGCATTCAAGTACGGTGCCAAGTATTACCGCAATGAAAGTGATCCCGCAGGTCAAGTACGTGAGATCGATAAGCAGACCATACGGTTTTGACCTAGCCGTCAGGCGCTCATAGAACCCCAAAATACACACCTTCATACACCACAGACTTAACTCCCCCAAATTAGTCCATCGTCCCCATGAATTCCCTTCCCTTCAAATCCAGAAAACTCACAATCCAGCGTAAAATATTCTACTAGCCAAGATCAACTTGCTTCCCACCACCCTCCTATGCATTTCCTCCTCACTCATACCCATCACATTAATCTTATCAAAGTCGATATTATTTGTTCCATAGACTAGCACCATGTGTATTATCCCCAACCTGATAAATAATGGAGCCAATGATATTCCCATCCATGTGTCGTCCGTGTACATTCGTTCGCCACGGTGGAAGCGAAAGAGGAGGCGGGTGACTATCAAGATGGCAGAAAGGAACGTGCAGATATAGGTAACTACTATTGACGCGATATTGGGTTGAGACAGCATGATTGCGCTTCTTTAAAATTGGGTTTGTAGCTGTGTAGTAGCAGTAGTTGTAGTAGTGCGTTGGAGTAGTCGCAGTAATTCAAGTCCTTTCTTATTGAAGAATACTATCCTCAGCAAACTATTCTGAGGGCACACTGATTCAGGCCTATTTTTGTAAATGTTAGCTTTTATCCCAAAGTCTAAGTAAAATGCACCTCTACCCACCCTCATTATTCCAAGACACGTCAAAAAAGAATTGATTGATTGATTGACGAGCACCACCACCAGGGCTGGGGTGAGAGGCAAGCAGGTAAGCACAGAAAGCTGGAAATCGATACTACTTTAAACTCCTTGGTGAGTATTTCCGGCCTAGAAGGGGTGTGGGGAGGGGGATCTCGAAAATATATGTAAAATGTCAAACCATTTAATTTGTGGGAGGGAGAAAAAAAGAGGGTGTGTGGGAGAGGGACGCCCTTAGTAGTAAGTAGCAGGTACGAGGAGTAGTTTAGTGGTAACCCTGAGCCCATCCCTGCGAGTATGGGTGATGGTGAAGATGAACCCTGGCCTAACCTGTCCTCCACAAGTGACAGCGCAGAAAAGCGTAAGGTGTGCGGTACTTACATAACTGCCTAGTAGTCCTTCTATCCCAATCCAGTAGTTACCTGTGCCCTGTACCTACACATGTATTCCAGATGGGTACTCTAGAGTACTCGCAACAGGCCTGAAGTACCCGAAAATGTAGCTGCAAGGTTTTGGTGTATTTTTGACTTCTACTCCAATGGTAATTGCAGATTAGGGCTTGCATTTTCGGGTACTTGTTACCTGCTGCGAGTACCTACATACGTAAAGCACCACACAGGTACTCGTATTTGTGGAGCAAGGGGAGCATGGGGATATGGAAATGGTGGAGATACTAGTGGCCTTCGCTAACGTCCTTCTCTCCCGGAAAGGTAAAGTTGGCGGATAGTTGTGTTCCATCTACATCTAATATCTTATTACGCCATGGGTGCGTGAGGAGTGCTGAGTGCTCTAGATCTCCCGAAAGCATGCAGGCGATGTGGGTGTAGTGCTATGACCCAATCGTTCGAGAGAGAAAACCGCAAAAAAGTACTTTACCATCCCGGATCCCCCCCCCCCCCCCGCGCATAATCAGAGCGTCTATTTGAGTAGAGTAGATATGTATGCATTAGTAAGGTTCCCTCTGAGAAAGATTACATAGAAGGATACATCTGGAAGCTCACATTGGCGTGGATATACCATATCAATATTAACATGGACAACTTGATATACCTCCGTTTCGAGGGCCATTGCTTCATGAACTGGTGGAAGCTTAGGTACGGCCTTATCGCCGGTGTGGGTCCAATACAAGACCTTTCCAAATGGCTTCCCGGTTCTCAAAGGTCGCGCGTACGGGCTCAATCGGGAAGTGCGAGACAACTGGCTCGCCCCAACCCATGATTGACCAACCAGAGCTCTGCGGATGATTTCCGGACGGAAATGCTTTTTGCTGAGCCTCGTTGCACCACAGCAGTACTACTACAGCATCGAAAAATAGACATCACGGGCGCAATTTCTGTGAAAGGTATATGTACCACACTATCAATTGTTCAAATCTTGGGGTAAGGCTTGTTCGCCTGAGTAGTTGTCGTCCGTGTTTGACTTTTACTGGCGAATTACCATGTTAATCAGCATCACAGGTGTCTCTGGCTAGATAATATCAGCGAAGTGAATGAAACGTTCTTTCTTCAGATGATGTATGTTGAGACAGTGGTGTCAGGTATGCATATAGCAATCTATATCGCCCATACCTTCTGGGTATAAAACCCTTACTTCTACACATGCATACTCGACTGGGCAAAACCCTTGCATAAACCACTTCTTCCAAGTTCTTCTTTCTCAGCACTAGCTAAGACATGCAATGCAGCCTGGCCTGGCCTTGTCTTGTCTTGACACCGAGTGTGATTTCCCTTGGTTGCACTAGAGTACGGACGGCTCCGTATGCATGATTACATGTAGTTTAGTTTAATTCCTGTCCCCGGAATCGGCAGAGGGGAAGATCAACGTCTAAATTCCAGAAGGCTCCAAAGTTTCCAGTAAGTGCAATCAAGAGATTTTCAACGAACGAGCAGACAAAGTGCAGATATTATAATCCGAGAGGATTCAACGTTGGCCCTCAGGTTTGACAGATCGTTTTTTTTTTCGCTACTATCATCCCAATGAACGGTACATCCCCGGATCATTCGGTTCTTGGTGGCTTATCTAGTCTCGCCGCCCAACGCTAGATAACGTCGAGTACAAGCTCCTTCCGCATCTCGACTCAAAACACACGCCTTGGCCCGCCGCGGCTCAACTAGGCCCGGCAGACAGACGAAATTCGAGCTGGTGAAACATCTGGTTAGCCCATCGCTGATGTGTTTTTAAGCTTATGCTGTGCACGAGGTTGCCGATTTCCTGAGCGTAGATCGAGGTGGGGCAGAGGGGCTCGAAAACGTTACCTCGTGCTCGATTGCAAATAGATATCATAGCGATAGCCAAACCACAATGCAATGCATATGTAGCCGCTGCCTATGTCTATCCGGTTCCCTCAAGGCTTGCCTTCCAGGAGCCCAGAAACAGCCGAGTTATTTCGGTTGAAAGGATGGATGTACCTGACGATCATATCCTCGAGAATTAGCGTACTTGATTGCCGCAGCACCCCCGGATGTTATGTAAAGAAAAGAGAATCCTTCGATTGAGGAAGCTGAAAGACGACTAACTAGACGAGACTGGCCCAGGGTACGTAGAATAGATAGAGTACATGTATGTACATACATAGATCGATAGCTGAATAGAGTAGAGTCACTTACTAATCTAACGACAACACACGCAATATGAGTCTACAACTTGCTAGTCCGTGCGAGTCTAATCAATCATGTCAATCTATGCGTAACCCCCTAACCCTAATCATAAGTTCCGACCCCCCGACCCCTGACCTGATCGTCGACTTGTCTATTTGTGCATATCTGTGCTTCTAGGGACTTTGTCTGAATGGTTGAACTAAGCGAGGTGGCTATGGGGGTGGATGGGGAAGAGAGCGAGGATGGGGACTCTGGCTCCTTTGTGTGTGGCTGTAGAGTAGATCTAGAGCAGAGCAGAGCAGAGATGTGCACATGTATCTTCCATGGTGGCTTCTGAGTGCTAGCTTTCTCAAGTGGCATGCATGAACTAGGCACATAGCATGCCCCCAATTACAAGGTATCTTCACTTCTGACATGTTCCTTTGTAGAATTCCGCGCATCAGTACTCTACTCTAAAGCTTGATTATATGTATACGTAGCGCAATTAACCAAACCCTGCCCTAGCTACTGTAGGTAGCTAGCCGTGATACGAAAAACCCAGCCTGCGGCGAGTTGCGGGGCTAGGGTTATCACAACAACCCGATAAGCTGGCCCTATCACCACAGGTCACTCGCGCTGATGTGAGACATCAACTACATGTACAAGTACCTATATGTTCCCCAAACCACACCAATATTCCTGGTCTTAGCACACACTGACACGAGAATACGACACTCGAGCGCCCCTGCCGTGGAACACAAGTATGTACTACACACTTACCTGGCTCGACCCAGCGGAAAGTCTTCCATCTCAAGCTGACCGCCGCATTGCCGGTGAGTGGGTCAAGTGCCAATATCGTCTGAAACCCCGCGAGGGGGGGGGGGTACGTGAGTCTGGGATGCGAGCAGTTCAGTTACTGACAGTTGACGTCGCCGAGCTGGAGTACTAGTGTAGTTGTTATTTCGGCCAGACATCTCGCGGTGCGTGGAGGTGGGTTATTGAGTGTCAACTTTGCGCATCCCCTTAGGACACTCTGCATATATCCCGGAACATGGTGTGTTTCGGGAGGTTGTGGCTTGCTGGACACACGACTTCCGGCAATGATGGCAGATGTGGATTATCAGGTATAAGTAGACAGGTTTGGACACACCCATCTTGCTTGTCATGTATGCGGTGAAACAGTTATCGTGAGTGGGTATGTAAGGGGGATACCGATTCACTTACGGGCTGCCGTGCGGGGGGATGTGTTGGGTTACAATTGCTGAAAGGAGGGCGGGTTGGGGAGACGGATCAGAAGGAACTCAGGCATAAAAGCTTCATTTATTGGTGATATCTAGCTAATAAAAGCTCTCTTATAGGAGGTCCGGAGAGAACGCCTGTTTCACACCCTGAGCTGCTATCCAACACGACTGGAACTTAACCAAGCATTGCGACTGGAGCCTCGGAATCGAGTGATGGTATATGATTTAAATACCTAGAAGCGCAGGTACGGTGTTTGCAACCCAGTAAGTCTCTTGGCCGTGGACACGATACCACTCTTCCTTCTACAAGTCTATGAATCACTAACAGTTACAGCTCAAACTCTATTTTTCCTGGACCCGTCCGTAGTGGAACCTGGCTTTACCGAGTGGCCACCAGACACACCACGGGTCCTGCATACAAATCTGCCGAATCCTTTATCCAACCCCCAGCGTGGGCATGTTTCAATTCCACGCATACCTAAATGTTTCTAGCACTCATGTGCAGGACTGAGGAAACTCCAGCGATAGGTAGCGGTCTTATACACTCAACTCTCCAGTCTCACACACCGCCGCCCGCACCGACATCCACAGTTCCCGCACACACCAGAGATTCGTTTATGCCAGCCAATCATATCATCCAATCTTCAAAACAAGACGTAGGAACCCGACGCCTAGCCAAGACCGTAGAGCGGGTGATAATACATGATGCGTGCCCGCACGACTCCCGTCGATAACTTCCCACCGCTACCTCCAGGAAGAAGACGAACATCTCACGCAGACCCATTGGCGGCGCATCTTGCGCATCTTGCGCATCTTGGCTCGGGGTGCGTAGTATGCGGTGAAGGCGCCTCGAACACTAGCGGGATGTCCTGTGCAGCGACCGTTGCCAAGGCCGGCCAATATTGAAACCCGCCTATAGGATAGCTTCCGCCGCCCTCTTTCTTCCTCATCTTCACACTAATGTTTATGTCGCATATATCTGTACGCTGGGATACCTCTTCCGCTTCCAAGACGAAGACAGGTATTTGTATACCCAATGGCCGACGTGGAACTTGAGGCCGGACGGTGGTTTGGAGGTGACGCACTCCCCATTCCCTATTATGGTTTGTCTGCCCCATAGGAACGTTGAGACGCGGGGATCCGCATAGGACTTGCTATACACCAGGATTGAGGATGTGCGGTAAGCGCTGTGGCTGTGGCAACAGCTAGGTCGTCCCTCCATCTACGTGTGCATGCCAGCGGTGCTATCCTACTCCTGGACTTTTGGGGGCGGTGTAAGATGCGGCCTCCATGACCGGGGCAAACATTCACAAGCAGTGTACTTGTAAAGCACATTAAAAGCCGCCTGCGAAATGAAACAGGGTTAGGGTTATGCTCCAAAATGAGTTCCAAAATCCCCCATTCTTTATCTCTACCCAAAGGTAGAAGCGTACTATCTGAAGTAACTATAACACAATTCTGTGATTCTATCTCCGTTGCCGCTTAGTTTGGTGAGAAAAGTTGACTATTGGACATAATTTTCGCAGGGCTATTGTGTTTCACTACCCTCATAGCGAAGTAAAGGTTTCATTCCTATCATAGAGTGTATCTGGTATATTAATGGGCATTAAGGATCCAAAAGCGCTAAATTGAGCTTTCAGACCTCCGACTCGAGCGGGGTATCGAGCGTATTCGAAACCGAGTGATATTTTATGATTAGCATTTTAGTTGGTGCGTGTAGTCCATTGATCCAACTTGGCGTTTTAGCTACGCTGCATTATTTTAAGCGTTGTAGGATGCACTGCTGGTTTGAGACCTGTTCCTTGGTCACCTCAACCCGTAAACAAACCTTTACATAAAACGTAACAATTATATTTAGAGCCAAGGTTCCAAGACGACCCATACTCAAGGGCCTTTTGCTAGCCCAGGAGCTGCCTAGCTCCAAAGATCGCCAATCAGATCTTACAAGATAGCCAAGTCTAATTGTAATTGGTGCTCCTCCTCCTGCCAAGGCCCAGGGCTCAATAGGTAGTGGCATAAAACGAACACCAGAATGAAACAACATGCTCCACATCATTTTGGTGCTGAGACCCCCACTTTGAAAACGCCAAGAATAGACGAAGTCTTTGGATTTCTACTAAAGGATCCATTTTGATTTCAGGAGCTCACCATAGAGTTGTGCGCCGCCTCTTATTCCATCTAGACATCCGTGAACTGCTTTCCATATATTTGGGTGGGAATAGGTGTGGATTAAACGCCGGAGTACTGGTGTTCATTCTAGGCGGTATCCACTATATAGGTAGCTTCGTCCAGGGATTAGATATCTCTCGAGTGATTGGTTGGATGGCATCGATCTTGTCAACCTACGAAACCGGGTTGGCGCCAGTAATAGATGGCCCCCACCCTCACCCTGGCTGTTTAATACTGAAAACCTTAATCCCTTAATCCAACTACTTCCTTCTCTACTCTATTGATTATTATCACAATTGAAATCACTGGAGTAGTACGATCAAAGAAGATTTTTTAAAAGAAGATTTATTTGAAATCCAGCATCATTAAACCACAGCTGATTCTGTTATACAAAGCTATCCACACACACAAACATCGTCATTACGTGTACTCCATCCTACAACCATTAACCAAATCGCAAAAAAGAAAAAAAAAGAAAAAAAAAGTAAAATCCATTAAAGAACGCTTCCAAAACCCAAGAAACCCAGTCATCAACAATAATCATCCACTCATGTCCATCTCATAATCATAAACTCCCTCTACCAATACCGTCCCCTCCTCTCACCAACCGTCGCGCCCCGTCCCCTCCTCCAAATCATCCCCGCCATCACCGCCGTCGCAAAGAACAACAACACATTCAGGATCCCCAGCCCCCACGCCGCCTTATACATAGAGCAGGTCCTATCCACTCTCACGCCCCCATTCCAGTACAACCACCCGCCGCTCGACCACCCATTGACACAGTCCGTGTTCTCCGCGACCCGCCCGAGCAGGACAACACCAGCGATCAAGACGCCAAAGACGCAGATGTCGACGATGGCCACCCACAGGTCCGTGAAGCGGCTGCGGTGGAAGAGGAACAGTGTTGCGAGCGCCCACACGGTCGCGAGGACGGCCACGACAAAGAGGCAGAGCACGGTGTCGGGCGGCGTCAGCCCTTGGTCGTTGGCTTTGTCGACGAACCAGGCCAGGATGCCCCAGATGGGGATGAGCGTGATGATCTGCAGGATGCGCAGGAAGAAGAAGACGGTGCCGGCGAGCATGGCTGCGGTTTGTTTAGAGCTCGTATGTTATAGTAGTGAAGCTTGGGAGTTTAAGATGGAACGAAGATGTGATAGGGCCCAAACTCGGCTGGCACCGAGGAGGAGGATGATGTAGAGGAGGAGGTAGTGTTAAACTGATACTCTGCTTTGCTTCGTACTGTACTGTACTGTCTGTCTGATTACAATCGGGGGGACATTCCGCAAGCCTTATATCCTCCCCTTCTCCCCTTCCCAACTCGCAACTCCCTACCCCAGAAACCCACCACATCATCATCCGCTACGTAGTATATTCTAGATCCCCTAACCAAGTTTTAGCAAGCACCCGCGCTGCCGCCAATCACCAACCACCGTCCAACCCAACCCAACCACCAAGCGCAAGCACCTACCCGCCAAGCACCCCTCCAACAAGCAACCACCAGCCGCTCAAGGGGACAAGATGACGTGACATCTGCTCTATGCCTGCCCCAACGGCCTTGGTCTACGGCGCAACACCCCCATCGCATCGTGCCAGCAGATCATCTACTACTACACGGAACTGAGCTGTTGCACCACCGCACGCAAGGGGACATGCATAGCCAAACAGGAGTAGCACCTCCTCTACCTACTCAGAGTGTGTATGTACCTGCTTCATATTTTGGGGGGGGGGGGGGGTGTTTGGGCTCCTTGCGTCTGTATGAGGAACCTTACGCTGGGCAGATCTGAGGCAAGCAAGTACTCTGCTATACCCATCTTGTAGTATTGTACAGGTAAAGTACCAGGGACAGCAGTGGACACTAGGACAGCATCGTCGTGCCAAAAAGCCTAGTGGGCGGGAGCACCCAGCACCCCCGTCAATCAGGGAGTCGTTAGTTTTGAGTAGTGACGGCGTGCGGTAGAGTTACCAAGGCTAGGCCCTGACAAGGCCCTGTTTCCCTCCCCAGCAACCGGCGAGGGATCCTGCTGTCTCCCAGCTCGTTTCTCTAACTGGTAATTGGCTGGCGGGTGCTGTTCACAGGGAGGGAGAGAGGAGAGGAGAGGAGAGGGGGGCCAGGGTTCGCGCACAACAAAACAGCAGTCAATGCTGGTTACGTCAGATATCCCCGATGACGTATCCAGCCCATCACTGACTAGCTGGTTGGTGTAGCACGGAACATCGTTGTTCCCTGCAAGTAATTGCGCAAAACCGGTGGGGGTGAAACACCGCACCCGCCAATCGCAATCGCAATCGCAATCGCACTTGTCGCTGTGGGCTTTTATTTATGCCTTGTGGCTTGGAAGACGGTGAGTGGGCAGGCAAGCTGGGCAGGCATCACTGTGCAGATATCAGGAGACGGTCGAGGCTTGGTGTGAGGTTGGAATTGGGTGTGGCGCGGTCGGGAAGAGGGCGGAGGAGTGGGAGTGGGAGTGGGAGTGGGAGTGGGATGGGGGTGGGATGGGGGTGGGATGGGAATGGGGTGATGTGACTTCACGATGTCCTGGCGGGTGGCTACAGACTCGCATTGTTGAAACTTACTTGGGATTGGCTGTGGAGGGTAGGTGCTCTCCGTACCTGTGTGGGTGCATGGGGGAGTTTACTGCGGGCTCACGACCACCGTGTCCAATCCAAGCAGACCCCACAACGGCCAGCTGCACCATTACCATTGCATTGCCATTGCCATTACCACGTATCATGATCCAAACCTCCCACCATTAACACGCAATCCCAATCCCAATCCCAATCCCAATCCCTCCCTCCCCCTCCAGCTCTCCACTACTAGAGTACACTCCCAAAATGACCCCCAACACTCCCCACACTGCGTACACTCCCAAAATGACCCCCAACACTCCCCCCAAAACGAACCCCCAAGCCACCATCCACGGCGTCCTCGTCCGCCGCACCCCCACGCCCACCCACCCCAAATACCACTTCCACCCGCACCCCATCGCCGCCGCCTCCCTCCGCCCGGGCACCTTCTCCCCGCCCATCCCCTTCCTCGCCACCATGCTCCCCGCCGCCTCCGGCCTGCGCATCCTCTACACGCAGCCGCCCACGCCCGCCACGCCCACCAGCACGCACATCCCCCTCGACTTCCGCTCCTTCTTCTTCGGCTACTGGTCGCTCAACCTCCGCCAGCACCCCGCGCTCACCGCGCGCATGGTGTTCTTCCGGCAGGACCTGCGCCCGCTGGAGCCGCGCCAGTGCGCGGTGCTCTGGGCGTTCTGCGAGTGCGTGGTCAGGAGCATCTATGTGGACGTGCTGGAGCTGTTTCCGTGGGGCGGGGGCTTTGGCGGAGGAGGAGGAGGGGGGGACGGTGGGGTGGCGATGGAGGAGGTTGTGGTGGCGGGCATGCAGCGGCTGTGGGTGCAGAGGGCGGGCGTGGACTGTCTGTATGCGTGGGGGAGGTGGTATCGGAATGCGAAGCTGCTGAGGGGCCGCGAGGAGTGGAGGGGCGTGGTGATGCTGTATGATGATGACGAGAGTTATGAGGGGGCGTATGGGAAGAGGTGGTGTGCGGCCGGGTGAAGTTGGACGGGTGATTGTTTGTGAAGGAGGAGTGCTGGGTGATGGGTTGTGATGCTGACTGATTGACTGACGGGCTGAAGGCTGACAAGCGGTACGAGTTAACGGAGGAGGAGGAGGAGGAGGAGGAGGAAGGCTGGCTGGGAACGGGCCTCATTGAGTTAATCGTTGTTTATTCATAAACACTTTTGTGTGTGGGATAGGGGAGGGAGGTCTGTTATTGATCACTTACCGGCAGCGTTGATATTGTATGTTTGTATTCATCCTGTATCACTCGCGCAACCATCGATATCTCAGAATACGATGATCACTAATTATATCTCCACAAGTATTAACATCATCCCCGGTTTCTGTTTCTGTCACTTTTGTTCCTGTCACATCCACATGGGCACACCAGCCAATAGAAAGGATTTCAACATTTCCAAGACGGTGGAAATGGATGATTAGTTAGTTACCCTAACCCTACAAGGTGATCAAACGCACGCAGCCAGCCAGCACGGTACTCCTTAATCAGACACAGCCATACAAAAAGAGGACGAAGAAGAAGAAGAAGATAAACAAAAGAAGAACGACAAAAAGAAGAAGACAAGTTATATTCCACATTGACCCATACCCAACGTACTCGTACCAAGCATACCAACGCTCATCATACACATACAAATTACCCCCCATGCCCAGCGCAGCTAGTCCCAACATAACTCCCCAAACCAACCCACAACGCCCACCACAACACCTACGCCCCCCTCACCATCGCCTCCACCGGCATGTGTCCATCGCCCTCACTCGCCACAATCTCCAACTTATGCTCCTCCGCAACCTCCTCGAGGCTCTTCCCGCTCGGCACCTCGCCGTCGAGCGCCTCGTCGTCCAGCAGGCTCGGGTTGAGGCGCAGCGCGCCGCGCGGGATCAGCGTCGCGAGGAACAGGATGCCGGCCAGCACCGTGAACTGCACGCCGCCGATGTTGAAGAGCGCTTTGTGCGCGTGGCCGTCGGACTTGATGGTGCTGTCGATGTAGCGCCCGAGCGTGGAGGAGAGGATGGCGTAGATGACGATGTAGGTCGAGTAGAGGAAGGCCTGCACGGGGGAAAGGGGGGGGGGGGGGTTAGTTACTGCGTGAGTAGGAGGGGAGGGGGGGGGGGGGTAATACCATGACGGCGCCAAGCGCAGATACGTTTTTCGACTCCGACTCCCTACGGGCGAGACAAGCCTGGATGTACGCCGCCAGCGACACGTCGCCAGCCGCCCACCCAAACGAGATAGGCATGAACACCGCCGCGAGGGTCCAGGCATAGTTGACATCATTCGCGGGGGGGTAGTAGTGGGGGAGGGCCCAGACAATGAGGAGGAGCAGGGAGTCGGCCCGCAGCCACGGGATGGGCGTGGGCACAAAGTCGTTGAGGAAGAAGACGCTGAGCGCGCCGAGCAGCTCGCCAAAGTTGCTGCCGCCGACCAGGATCTGCGAGTAGGCCGAGACCTTGAAGACTTGTTTTGCGACGAGTGGGGCGATGCCGGACTCGAGGTAGCGGTGGCCGTAGAGCGCCACCGAGTAGCTGTGGGTGCGCGGGGGATGTCAGTGGTAATGATCCATATCGCATCTTTTTGTGTCACAGGGTAGAAGGGGAGACGAACCCAAGAGGCAGCCACATGAACTTGCGCTCCGAGAAAATGATGACCGCGCCGCGGTAGACGGACTCGCCAAAGTACTTTGCGCCGTGCCAGACCTGGGTGAAGTAGTTGCTCCTCTCGTACTCGATGGCTGACTTGAACTCGAGGACCGTGATGAAGCTCCACACGATGCACGCGCACGTGAAGAAGATGGGCGAGACGATGAACGAGTAGTTGTTGCCCAGGCGGAGGACGAGGTAGGTGGTTGCGAAGGCGCCGCCGGTGCCGGCCACCTCGTAGAAGATGTGCACGGTGGCGTCCATGCGGCGGAGCTTGTTGACGTTGCCGCCGACGATGTCGCGGGGGATGACACGGCGGATGAGCTCTACCATGCCGTAGGCTATACCGGAGGCCTGCGGGGGGTGGGGTTCTGTTAGAAGGCATGAGGGGGAGGGAGGGGAGGGGAGGGGAGGGACATACACAGTAGATAGGGAAGAGGGCATTCGGGTTCCAGTCACCATAGTGGGCCTTATCCTCCCCGGACTGCTTCATCCTCCCGCCCGTCGACGCATCCACAATCAACAACACCGCCGTCAACAAGCCAAAGAACATGACAGCCGCGGCGAGCACCGAGCGGGTCGGGAAGCGCTTGATCAGCGGTGCAATCAGGATCGAGCCCACACACTAGTGTCACACCCGCACTATCAGTCTCTCTATATTCCCCCCCGAGATCTAGACCAGGCTAACGATATAATATATAGGAAAGAGGAAGTCGGGCATGAGGTATACACACCTGGAAGGCCTGGTTGAGACCCTGCAGGATCCCGAGCTTCTTGTACGTGGACCCACCGCTGAAGCGGTCGGTGGCCAGCGTGACGATGGACCCGTTGAAGGCCTCGAGCCCCAGCTTGTAGAACATGATGCCGAGGATGTAGATTGCAATGTTGCGGCGCTCGGCGGGCGAGTAGGCGTGGTAGATCTCACGCATGCTGCTGAGGAACCCCATTGTGGACTGACTGACTATCTGACTGTGGATTTCGTCTGAGTTGAGAGTCGACCTTTGCAGGTACTTGGAGTAGCTATAAGCTAGCAGTAGCAGTAGCAGTAGCAGTAGCAGTTGGTGGTGGTTGTGGGATCGGATTGGGTGCTGGTGGACGTCCTCGGGACTATATATGGAATCCTGTCCCTGGGTGGTGGCACTGAGCTGCGGCGTGTGCAGAACAGCAACTCCCGTCCGTCCTTGGGATCAAACTATGAGTGAGCAGGAAGTTACCAGCCAAGTCAAGCAGCAGCAGCAGCAGCAGTAACAATTAGTCTTTCTGCAATGCCCAGCTATATAGTGCACGCAGGACGGTGCGACTTTCTCCTCAGGCAGACAAGCCAGGAGCAGACGCAATGAGTAACGTAGTATGGATCGTCGACCAGCAGTCGCAGTCGCAGTCGCAGTTGCAGGAAGATGTAGGACCGATGTGTAGGTAGATATATGTATATCTCGAGGACGCACACTCAATCTCCTGCTAATTAAGCTATGTACTTTCCCCAAAAGACCAGCCCAGAAACGCATCTGCCCCAGTCTCTATATACACGCCTCAATTGGGACTCTCACGTCCTCCCAAATAAGCATAAAAAGACAAGCTCACACACTAGCCACTAGCCATTCGCTCGTTAGAGTACGAGTCTCTCCAAGCTACACTAAACCACACTAGTCCCCCCCCCCCCATCTTCCTCATCCCTCATCCCCCCCGTCCCTGTCCTCGTCCCCCATATCGACATCCCCATAACAACAAAAAACCCTCTTTTCAATAAAATAAAAAAAATAAAACGTCAAATGCACGTGTACCAGTCGCATCCCTCTCTTTGGCTCCCCCAGCCCATCCACACGTGCAGGCAGGTCGCGGTTCTATTGGCGCCTCCCGCCTTGGCCGGGGGTTGCACGTGGGGGGGGGAGTGACATTAATGCTAGGTTCGGGGATTGGGCCAATGGGGTGGTGGGTGAGTGTAGCGGTGGGTGATTTGCAATTAAGGTGGTACCGTACTGTGCGTGGGGTGGAGAGAGCTAGAAGAGAAGAAGTATTTTGTTCCTGGCCTCAGCTAACTACGTCTACGATGCTTTACCGTGTTTACCGCAAGGGGGAGGCAGCGTTGGAAACAGTGCAGTGGATGTTTGGCCGTAATGCTTAATGCGGCGGGGAGTACAAGTTGCTGGAGGGAATGCTAGACCGATGTTCCTATCTTCTTGCCTACTCCATCGATCCCACATAGAGAAACTACACTGCCGCTGCTGTATCGAGCAATTGAGAGGCAGGGATAACTAACGCATTCAGAATTTTGGTGGTATGTACCCGTACATACATGTAGGTACGTTTAAAAAGACCTGCATGAATGAAACCATAAAGCAATTATTTACCGATGTCCCATCAATTGAATATGGCAGAAATATCCTTACTCCCCTTGGATTTTCACAGGGGGGTGGCCGTGGGTAGAGTAAGTACTTTTTTTTATTTCTTTTCTTTCGTTTCGCTTGATGTTCTCTGGAATGGTTCCAAGGTACTGGATAGAAATTGGAAGGAAGCAGAATTAGAATAGGAATCTCGAAATGTCACGATAGAGATGATGTGCATAACTATCCGTCTCCCAAGAAGCCTAATTAGCCAAGCAACCCCAGAGAACCCAAAGACAAGCAAATCGACAAGTCTCGTAACGCCAATCTACTAATTCGCTTCACCCGCGCCAACCCCAAGGAGGTTAGCCACATACACATCCCCCATCCCGAAATCCTCCACCCACTTCCCCCCTGGGCCCAAAAAAAAAATTACACTCAAGAAAAAGCTTCTCTTTACCACCACCGCGAGGACAAACGTTCATGGCTTGGTTTTCTTTTTGGCCCTATGGCTGTGACGGCGAGACCTCCGTGCGTGCGGCGGCGGCGGTTCTACCGCAAATACTACGGTAGGAACAGTTGTAGTTGTGATGTCCATATTTCAAATTCTGGTTTTCCTCCACGACCACTAGCCAGCCCATGGGCATCGTGAAGAAAGGGTTGGTTGGGAATTTACCCAACTTTGTGGCACGTGCGGGTTGTGTAACGAGACACACAACACTTGGCTAGGGAACTATGTAGAGTACATGGTGGAAAATCACTCTGGCGTCGAGGTTGTACTTTCGCTTATCGAACTCCCAGCGCGGGAAGGTGTCAGTTGTGTTGTGCGAGGAAAAGGAATGAGTTGGGGTATGGAGTATCGATAGGTGGTTTGAGGCAAGACATGCTTTGCGGGTATTGTCCCTGCTGGGGTACTGGGGGTCTGGGTTTGCATTTGGGGTTTTGACAGGTAGCTTGGCTAGATTACTATAGTGAGTAGCAGCGCGTAGTTACTGCTTGGTTCCTTCCGTCAGGCTAGATACATGTAGGTACCTAGGCTAGGTACTCTAGCATTTCAAAGTCGAGATAGTATTTCTTGTGCTCCCAAACTTCACTTTGTGAACTGTAGTACCAACCAACGGATGTGACTAGGTCTACCTAGAGCTCATAATCCAGAATCTGACAGCACCCCTTAATTATCCCTACCTCAATGCATTCCGTATCATGATCGTCTCCTGTTTATGTACCGAACAATTATAGAATATTCTGCTTCCTGCCGAATAGCCAAGTTTCCAGCCAATAGCATCGCTGCCTTTGAGACCGTGCCATTGTGTATAGGCAGGTAGAAAAGTGTCGTACGTCGATTGAGCCTCAAAATTTGCATTTCGTCTTAGCAATTGATAGAGTCACGATGTTTCCAAGGCGAGCGAGAAGCGATATTCCTGCTTTCTATCCCTGGCTAGTTTACTATGATCCATGAGGCCATCATCATCTGCTCCATAGCGTCGGGCCCCCATCCGACAGTAAGGCATTGATTATGGACGGTTGTCGTTAGTCGTAGAAACGGCCTCCGCCTTCCCAGGTAAAGGGAATGGGTATGTAGCTGTTTCCCTAGCTTTCCACGTGGGTTCATCTGCACTCCATTTAGGTTTCTTTTGATTCGTACATCCTTGAATGTGCACCTCTGTAGATTGAGGCGTACATCATCGTTGTGTTCGTCGTCAAAAGAGAGTGTACCTATGATATCTAGTCCATAGAGAAGTAAGGATCAGTAATCACTCAGCTCAAACTTCTGCTCCGTACTTATGGTTGATCAAAGGTACAGATACACGTACATACTCATCTTCACGCCTATCCACTGACACAGCCCGCCTAGCTATATACCCGTTCGCTAAAGCAACCTTTACTTCGCACCCGAGGGAGTCAGCCTCGAGCACAGTTTTATCCTCCTTGCTTTCAAAAAGTGCAAATCCTTGGTGTACAGGATCGATCAGATCTTCAAACCTACGATAACGGCAGAAACTAGTTTAAGCCAATTCGTCATTCCCCTCCGTTAGTTGTAACGGCAGAAACTAGTTTAAGCCAATTCGTCATTCCCCTCCGTTAGTTGTAACGGCAGCCTTGTATCTATGGAGGTAGGTATTATATCGATCTCCAAGGCCTTTGGACAGAAGCGGGTTGACTTACGAGGACATGTCCAAAGCGATGCAGCAGCGCCCCCTAGGAGAATAATTAACTATAATTACACACTGTAGAGTAATCCGACTCTCAACGGGCATTTCGAAGTGTCATGATTCAATATAGGTGCAATATTTCCCTTTTTTGATGTTTCTTGGAGGTTTAGAGAGCCGATTGTAGCCGATTTTATTTACCTTGGGGTGTTTTAAATGTGTTGCCGCATGTAGATCTTCTTGAGCCTTGTGAGTATATACTGTTAACACGTACGCACTCTGTTGGAAAATCTCCGCACGAGGGCGGTAGCTGGTGAGGATGATGAGATGGATGCGCAGGAGCGGATGGACGCGCAGGAGTGGGTGGAGGTACGGTTAATATTCGAGTGGATTCCATTCGCTGCTACGTCGACTCATATTGAAGAGAAGTAGCTCTAGCTAGATCTTCCTTCTTCTAAGGTAACGTTGCCTTGAGCAACCTTGCATCAATAGGTATATCATGGTCACTGAGATATACCGGTCCCTGGAGCAATAAATTATTATTTGTGTATTCTTCCGCCTACCCTATATCATCAGCGATGCTGCACATGAGATCGGGAATTGTGGTAGAGCCTAAAGTTCTCTATCCTATCTATCCAGGATTGCTCCCAGATGTGGTTTAGATGGGTTATGATTAGAAAGCGGTATTGTTTACGTACAGGATCATCGATAGTACGGTAACCATTGGAAGGATTGAGATGGATAGATAATCTCAGGAATCTGACGGCCCTATGACTAGCTCTATCAATAAGAACATCCGCTATGGCATGGTATTCGTCCAGTTGATGTAGCCCTTGTGGTGGGGATGACAAGGCTGAGAGATGTGTGCTCGATCTGTGTGGTTATCCTACATAGAGTTGCTTATGTGGCGCCATGGAACCAAGCTCAAATTGAAAGACCAACTATGGATTAGAATATACGTCCTCTCGCCTCCACAGTGCTTTGTAGCACGTTAGCACAAACTATTCTAGATACAACGCTTGAACACGAGTGATAGCGTGTGAGAACCCTCGGAAGAATTCATTCCAACCCTAACCCTCTTGGTCCTGGTTCACTGGAGCTACCTTCAGCTTTTTCGGAGGCCCCTGAGACCATGATGAACCTTCAAATCAGTCGGATGCCCCTCCGCTGTTTCGGGGTCTCTCCGAAACCTAATCGTTGATCAATCTAGAATTTTACAGAGGAAGAGCTTTTTACGCCATGTATCGATAGAAACGAACGTTGGTGGCGGAGGTTAGTCTCGTGCCCAGACTTGCACGTGCATTGTAGTTTAGGGGAGAGGATCGGAGCAGAGAAAGAAAGGTTTAAGATAGGTCCGACCAGCCAAGCCAAGAGGGAGACGGGAAGCCACAGGAGTCGAAAATGGCAGCGTGCATTCATCTCGGGAGACTAGACATCTGGTCCTGCTGGATGCGCTTGGTCATTGTCGGTATATACCGTAAGGACGCAGGATCTTTCTGTGAATCGTTTCTGGGCGCGGTGCACTGGTTATTGATTTTTTTGTTGGTGAAGTAATATCTTCTTAGCAATAGTAGCTATAGTTAACAGTCGCACCTAACTATCTTGTATTCCTATATGCCGGATCTCTGATGTTTCGTATGGGCTTTCGAGCTGTATCTTCCTAGGATCGTTTCCTCATTTAAAATCTATTGATGCTTGCTGTCTTGTAACTAGGGTGGGTGCCCAGAATACACTTACACCATAATAAGATACGACTACATAACCCCAATTCCGAACAGATACAAGGAACCTATCTACCCTGTTAGACAAATGTGTGGTACCGGTCATCCTATTTCGGTGTATGGCAATCATCAAATATCACTCGGTTTGAACCTAAGATGATCTCGAGCACAATCACTCAGAATTTATCCTCTTTACGTCTCTAACTGGAATAAGTGCCCATAAAGTATCTGCCCTTTCTTTTGGTTATTCTTATAATGGATGCCCCTAAGTACTTCTCGGGGGATAGCGTAGTAAAGTATTACATCCCGTCTCCTGAGTTTTCGTGTTCAGCTGCAGCTGGGCGCTTAACATGGCAATTTCTATCTGCTGAAACGAGCTTGCAATACTATTAATTAACTGTATGCCACCTCCAATATAGCTTTATAAATCTTTTACTGAATCATCTAACAGGTACGAGCCCAGCTACATATGTTAAAGTAAGCAATTAAATGTATATTTCAACTCCCAAATATCGCGTTAAACAGACATCAATCAAGTGGGCAGACTGATTTCTGAGCTTCCTTCTGCTGGATCCACAGAGCTGGTAATGGTAAGTAATACCACACATATGTAAATGATTGCTTCTTAAAACGATGTGGAATTCCCGAGCGGCCGATCCCAGAACCTTGATCGGTTGGCCTGATAAAAGATCTTTTACATTTAAGGAAAGATGTTTCAAATCTGCGGGATCATACTAATGATCACCGGTAACCGAGAATCCATTTCCTTCATATTTGAGCCAAACCTATGGCTATGGTCATATGAACGAATATTTCTACTTGATCAACCAACCGGTAGTTCTCGAGAGCCATCGATGAGAAGCTCAGACCAATCATAGAGCTAGCTATGGGCATGTGGTTAGTTAAGAGGCAGATAAAGGGTTAGAAACAGAACCCGTAAATGTGGGCCTTTCACACTTGGCACATAACTCAATCAACATCATAATCATCGAGCTCCCCCAAACATCAAACCGGCAGGAATCGTATTTTTGTAACCAAGTCGACTGTAGAGTAAATGAAATTGTCATTTCTTTATGCATGTGGCATTGATATCTATGTAGCGAGATGTCCGCGCGCACCTCTTTTTCGAAAAGGGTGTGTGTGTATGTTTGATCCATGGCATGGGAGTTGACACTACCCGGGCCCCTTCACCACTTCTTACACCATATATATTACGCATAGCGGACGGTTGAAATCTTGGGGGTCAGATTTGACTGAGATAGAGGTGGCGTCCAATACAGAAAGCTGCCAATACTGAAATTCAGAGGGGTAACTCCTCTATGTATGTACTCAGATTTGTGGACGTGGCCACGTGGAGCCGCCACACAAAACGGAGGTGCCCCCGAGATCCTTTGATATATGTAGCTCTCCAATCAAGCGTCTAACGTGCATAAAGCTGCAGAGCATTATGTAGTGCTTGCATAGGAACTTACCGTAGACTATCGTCACTCGCATGGATAAAATAATCTAGAGTGATCATGAAGAATCACTCGGTTTCGGTTTTGCGTTGCATTTTTTCATGTAATGATTGATTGATTGATAATTCATCTTTTCGGAGCCATCGCATAGATCTTTCGCTACCCGGTCAGAGAAACTTAGCATGATTCGATTAAAGACAGATCTCTTGACGTAGTTTATAGCTGCTACTATAGTCGAGTGCACGTGTTCTCACTAATTGTAGTGTTGAGCCACTGGATTTTCGGTCATGATCCATTAGACACACTCAATTGGTCTACATGCACCTCGCTCTAAAGTATGGTTAGGTATAATTAAGGGCCAGGCCATTTGATTCAAAAAAGGAATTACATATAAAAGAAACCCTAACCCACAGTCAATCGTCCCAAGTCTGTGAATTTATAGTAAATTAAATGGGGCCTATCAAGACGAGAATAATTTTTGCCACTACATTGTATCAGGATCCAGTCGATAAGCTAGTACTCTCTGTTTTAACACTTTGCTAAGAAAGGAGCTGAAAGTCTAGGTGATCATGAAAGCACTCGAAATTCTGCGGGAAGAAGAGGACCTTGTTGATGTAGATAGTAGGTCTTTGAGGGGCCGAGGGTGTATTGAGTATGATCAGACTTCTGATATTATCAATTACAAGACACGAAGTTTTGTATAGGAAATAGAACTCAGATTCCACGTCATGCTACAATCTCCACACATGTGAGATGAACCATACCTATCGTAAAAGGCTTCAAATGCCTAATAATCTTGAAGCTTTTGAGCATTGATCCTCCGAAGGTTAACTTTCACATCAAAACTACTTAGGTATTCGAATTTAGTAAAGAATCAGAAACCAGCGCAAAACTTGAAACTTAATTGCGGTCGCGGCGGAGAATGAGAATAAACTCAAAACCTACTCAAACTCCGCAATGTTGCAGCCTAAAGCACAATAAACTCATTCATAGAACTCGAATCCCGGTCAATTTCCTCGAGTTCGCGTTACAACGTTAAGTTCAATTCTTGAGCGGCCTTAATTTGTTGGATCCGACGTCTAAGTACATGTATGCATAGGACATGCATGTACATGAACATGTTTTAAGCCAGATGTAACGTATCCACTAGCTCGGGATTAAAAACATGTGGTACGTACATCTTGTACTTAAGCACTTCGGGATCGATCTCACATGGAATAGAAAAGCTTAATTAAGACGTTATCTCTTCTAGTGGCCTCTTCCCCCTCTCCCCTCAAGCTCACACTCTCCACCAAAAGATTCTCCTCACGTAACGTTTGTTTCATCGATCGGTCACCAGAGACACCTTACTATCATCAACAACAAATCACCGTCTCTGTCTTTTTAACTCCTCCACGCTTCCTCAATTGCAAGGTTATTTCGATGAGCTAAAACATTCGAGGTTGAGAACAAAACAGAGTGGAAGCAGAGCTAGAGATGAATCAAGGAAGGCGGGCTCTAACGTTGAGTAACTCTTGGCTATTCATACCTACATGTATCTACTTCTGTTTCTTCTCTGGTGGTATCAATTCTTTTAATGACACCGAAACACTCACCATTACATATAATCTAACGGTCAACTAGAAATACTACTCGAATGTGACGGCCCATAAATGATCATATTCATCAACTTATGTATATCGCATCAACATCACAATGGTATTTTCCCTTTTTGTTCTGAATGCAACCTGTAGACGACTTCATGGGGGTATTGCCAATCTCAAATATACGCCGAAGTGATGTATGATACGCAGGGAGTTGATCGACTACCTCTTTTGGTTTCCATACCCCCGTGTTGACCACACCTCCGTGAAGTCGTCTAATATATTAATGTGATTACCTACTCTATCTAGAGACACTCACACCTTTTTTGACATATTACCTAAGAAACCCTAACCCATAGTGGCGCCATATTGACATTGGTGTGTATCTAACCCCCCCAAGGTGGAAGCCACCTCACCTCAAGAGGCTTAGTTATATCGCCTCATGTCAAACCGTACTTTGATGCGCTATTTGCCAAATAACGTTGGGCGCCTGAATGCATAGCATGAGGCTGTGATGAATGTGATCTCAAGTGGAGGTAGGTTGCACACCTTTCAAGGGTATGAGCCCCATGCATCCATCTATCTACAGTATGTAATCGGGGCTGAAGAACCTTTCCAACGAGTACAACTACACACACGCCCGTCTACCACGTCCATACTACCATGAGATTGTAATCCTCACTAACCAAGAGCACCAAGAAAAATAAGAAACAGACAATCCTTAGAGCTATCAGAATAAAAACTCCAGATATCACCATGAGTACATCCGTCATGGAGAAGGAGCTGACGTGTTCCGTAAGTCATGAAGCTTCACCCCCGCGCTCACGCTTTTCTACCTAAATGCACATCCTGACCTTCTCTCAAGATTTGCACCGACCTCCTCTACGACCCAGTAACATTCCTCGACTGCTTGCACACGAACTGCGGTTCCTGCGCCAAAGCATGGTTCCAGTCATTAAGTAATAACGCTGCCAATGCTCCGGTAGCATCCTCCAGCGCCGCTCCAAATGTCGCGAAATATACCTGCCCAGTGTGCCGGGCCACAGTCCGGGCTACAAAGCACAACCCTACACTCCAATCCCTTATAGAGGACTTTGTCGCGAGGAACCCGGACAAGGACCGCACAAAGGAAGAAAAGGAAGCAGTGCGGAAGATATACACTCCTGGAAGCGGAGTTCTTCCTGGCGAAACCTCAAGCTCAAGTTCTATTCACCCTCCAGCTCCTCCTGTTGCGCTTCCACCCCGCCGCCAAGCCCCCACGAACGTAAACCCTTGGGGTACACCGCCCCGCCCTCAGAACCCCCGCATTCAACCCCCTCCCCAGGCCAGAGAGGCAAGGCGGGGATCGCTCCCGGGATCATCGCCCCCGCCGTTTCTTGGTACGCTGTTCAACACCACGGAACAAACATGCGCCCATTGCCAGAAACGGATCGACTTTGCTACACGCTGCTGCTGCTCGCAATGCAATATATTAACCTGTTGCGCTTGCGCCAGAGAAGGACATTGCTGTCGGGAACCGAATACGAACCATTCTCTCATCGTACACAAGCTCCAATTGAACCCTCGGCACATCCAGAGCGGCTGGTTCTGCGACGTCTGCGAGACCTGGTGCGACAATAGTGGCAATGAAACAAACGCCTACTTCTGGGCGTGTGAGATTTGTGATAACGGGAATTGGGCGGTTTGTAGGACATGCGTATCCAAAGGCAATGCCTGCACCCACGAGCTGAAACTATACTCCAATCAGCGCACCCCAAGTAGAGGGCCCATCAGAGGTGCCGTGGTGCAAAATTACTGGAGTATATACACAGACCTCATTAGGAATTCGGGAACTACAAATATAAGCCTCCATACGCGACTCAGCGCCTTTGGCTACCTTCGCGCCATGTCATTGCGGATAGAATGTGATAGCTGCAATGAGGTGATCCCGCCCGACCATTCTTACCTCCACTGTACCGAATGCTTGGACGGCCATTGGGATATGTGTATTACCTGCTGGTACACAATGTCCGAACAAATTGGCGGTAATGACGAAGATTCCAGCTTTCCATGTCGTTTTGGTCACCAAATGGCCCTACTCACCCAGAATGGGGAACATGGCACCCATAAAACAATTCAAGATGCCCCCCATGACCCGCCCGACTATGTCTCGCGGAGCCCTTCAAATGATAACGGGTGGCCAATAATGATGGGCCCAAAAACAGCGGTAGCGTTAAAGGGGCATTGGCCCGAGCCTCAGGAGAGTAATGTAGGTACAGTCTGGAGACCGGACACGCCCGGCATAAGGCCGAGAAACTATGGTGGGCTTTTGGTGTTTCCAGAGAAGGCAGAAATCACGGATATATGGGTTGCTTTCACGGAGGGCGATGGGTTGGATAGAGTGGAGTACTTGTGGGGATGGTATTCGGGGGTTGGGGGATTGTTCCCGAGGGATTGCGTGGAATTTACAGATTGATTCATAGGTGTAAGTCATGTGACTGCTGCATCGTGATTTTAATCGTGTTAGTGGAGAGGAAATAGTCGTTTTGGGTATTCAATTGGGGTTTAGGTTATGGTTATGGGAGTTATGGATTTGTCGTGAGATCCTTGAAGGGGTTTTCTTTGCTTTATATATATGTGTATCTTCATTTTATTTTGGAACGAAGCTTGATATTGATACGATGTAGTACCTGCTTCTTATTTTTTTTATAAGAATATATATATGCACGAAACCTTAGTCGACGCCGGTAATAAGAGAAGTATCATCCGGCCTGGTTCGGTCCAGGTGATGCCAGGTGAGGCAGCGGTACTTGAACCATGATTATTCTTCGATCGAGTAAACACAATTTAAAGACTGGCTATGGTAGTGTGTCATGAGGGAGGAGAAGAGACGACGGTATATATACAGCACTTTAGAGGCTGAAAGATAAAAGTGTCCATTCCACACAGGCTTAAAAAGACACTTCTCAAGAGCTTCCTTGACAACTGATCGGGAGGAAAGGGCATTTTATCATCCCAAGAGTAAGCAGAATAAATCGGCAAGTAACCGGTAATCAGGGCTCGTCAGGGATAGGTTTAAATTTTTACACTTACAAACATGTAGTAAGCCGCGCAGAACGGCAATGATTAGAGTATTTTCGAGTAAGGTACCCACATGATCGGAAGTATAGATACATGTCTCAACTAATCTTTACCTACTTGTACTCTGTCTTGTGTTATCACGGCAAAAGCCATTACATCTCACGACGTCACACATTCCTGTCTAGCTGTGCGGATATATCCAGAGACCTAGCTAGTCGAATTCTATAAACAGAATAAATACGAATGGGTGTTGGGGGCATATATATATAATTCCCTCAGTGTATATCATACCCCCCCTCTAGAACATATTAATTGACCTAAGCTTCAGCGGTTTCAATCTGGTGATCATGCGCACTGTACTACATGTACCCTACAGATTGAAGACAAAACTCAAAAGGAACATAACAAAATCCGTACCTTTAAAGAAACCTTTCTCTAAGCTGGAAAGGGTCTAACTACATGCTTTATCGTCCTACAAGCTAATCAAATCAAGTAGTAAATAATAAGTGCCAAGTAAGTAAAGGCTCGATGGGGTTAGGGTTCGTTCATCAAATCTATTTAACACCATAAATGAAAATAAAATATGCGAAAACTGCGATCTCCTTACGATAAGTACCCTCTCTAGAAGAAGATACCTGTCAGAGTAATCAAAACACTCTCATGATACAAGCAGCACCACGTGTTGTGGCCGCTGTTGGTGTTGTCTATTTTAGGTCACCACAGCACAAACAGCATGTAACGTTACACACACCACCACCAGCACCAATTAACATTCCGGGCTGACCCTGCCTGAGAATTGTCTCCACCCCGCAATACAGGGATCGTGACTCTGTTAAGCTTTCTATTTCTGTTCCGGTTATGGGTAGCCGGCAAGGTGCAGCCATGGCCCAACAGAATCAGTGGATTAGAAAGAGAGAAGAAAAAGCTTAGCTAGGTGGCATACAGATCACGGATAGCGATTGGAGAATTGGTCCGGGTGAGATTGGGAGCTGGCTGTTTGTGATCATATCGAAAGGTTTTAATGGAACCATCGACCGGGTTTTCGGCATCCATATCGATGTCTTTTCTTTCTTTTCTTTCTTTCCTGGCTTATAATTAGGAACTTATTGATAAAACTTTACGTTTTGGGACGTATGGTGCTCTCATCTGATCAAGGGCGAGCAGAGAGCTGTACAAGTTAGGATTCACGCTTTGTGCAACTGGATGTTGACATCGTCACTACATGTAGGTCCAAGTGTCTTTTTAGGCTGCAATTGACTCACTGCGAGCGGAGTTCTAGATCCTCCAGTTACGAGTCTTCGTTCTTTCACTTCTACAGTGCTCAATTGCCCAAGCCATTTTGCATCGTGAAGGAAAATTCTCTTCATTTTCCACAGAACGTAAGCTTACGGACAGTACGCAAATCCTCCAAGATACCACATCTCCACACCCAGCTAGTACCTAAAAACCACATCCCCGGCACACTACTACAAAGCCCAAGTGTAAATCAGCCTGTAATCAGTGCAACATCACATATTACCAGGATCAAAAAAGTGAATACAAGCTTACTCCCATTAATATTCCCAACGATCTCGTATTCCACAGTACGTACATATTCTAACCAGCTAGTGAGGCATGAATACGACGTTGGTGCAACTACGACTGCCGAAGCTCGATCATCGGGCTTCCCGGCATGGCTGGGAGGTCAATGATCGTGTGACAGCTGGTTACTGAGAAGCCTATGTTCGAACAACAATTCAGTTACAATCAATGAAGTAATCAATCAATCAACAACCATTCAGTTCAGTGCAATTGGACGATATCAACCTCAGCTCCTCAATAGGTGAAATCCTCACCCACAGCCAGAACTGCATATAAACCCCCTCCACCATCCCCAACATATCTCCCCTCCTCACCCTCATCATCACCTTCATCCACAACACTCGCTCCAACTCTCATACACACTACTAATCTCACTCTTACTCTCGCTCTTAATACTCCTACCACCACAACCACCACCACCACCACCATAAAAATGTACACCCCCGCTGCCCTCCTCCTCACCACCCTCCTCCCCCTCCTCACTCTCCTCACCCCCGCACTCGCCACCCCCGTCAACGCCGTCTGCACCCAGTGCGACGTCAACCCGCTCGGCAACGCCGACAAGACATGCGACATCACCACCAGCTGCGTGCGCACAAACTACCAGGGGCAGTACCACTGCGCGTGCCGGTAACTATTCCCCCTCTCGTTCTGTTTTTTTTGAATTGGAGTGCTAATGGTGATTTGTGGTGGATCAATAGTGCCGGGTACAAATCGGCGGCCCCCAACGACGATAGCGAGTCGCACTACCGTGTCAACTTCCCCAACGAGGGATTCAGGGTTTTCACCAAGCCGGGTGTGGTCTGTGATACTTTGTGTGATGAGTACTGGCTTGGACCCGACTCTTGCCAGGAGGTCCAGGTCAGGCAGGCGTGTCTTTAGATCTACATGCATAGCGCCGCTGTAGATTATGGCCTAGCTGCTAGGTCATGATGGGGACGATCAAGTGAGATGAGGATTTATGTGTTTGGATCTGAATTGGTTGTCTTATTGTCGCTCCTTTAATTTCATAATGTCTTATTACTACGTAGCTACGTATTCAATGCACAATATATTTCTTAACTAGGAATCGTGGTCATTGGTGTGCCGAGTGATATTCTGTGATTGACATGCGTATCATTGACCGGGTTCATTTTTTGCCAATGCAGAAATTGAATAATACATTACATAAACTAGACCATAAGGTTACAAAACATAAACCAAAAACCAAAAAGAAAACCTGTATATATCAAACAAAAAGTCGACGAGTACACCCAAGGAAACACAAAATACTTGGCACCCCAAGGGACATGCTAGTAGAAAAACGGTAGCAAAACAACTCTACCCTCCCACAGGGGGAACGTCAGCGGGCACCTCAACGGGCACCTCAGCGGGTACCGCAGGGGGCGTGTTAATACCTCTGTCGGCCAACTGAGACGTATTCACGAACGCCCTATGCGTAGCATTATGTATCCTTCGGTTCTGAATAACACGCTGCGGTACAGGATTCGGCGCCCTCCCATCCTGCGTGATATTTGCCAGATCCGGGAGCACCGACTGTTCCACGTGCTCATCCGCCAAGCCAATTCCCTGGATAAAAATGCCATTTCTCCACCACTTGCGGAGCCCATCCCAGCTGTCTAGCTCAATATGAGGGTCTGAAGTAAGCAGCGATACGATCGCCCTCATCCACGGAGCATGCGGCATCGTCATGTCAGGCAGTAGAAAGACCGGCGGGCGTGTAAGCAGCCGCTCTATTGTGGTTCCGGCGGAGTCTATCTTTTGCGCTGTGAGAATCAGATAGCTGAGCCACTCTGGGAGCCTCCAGTCAGCGAGTTTCGCACGAGCGTCTTGTAAGATAGCCATGTCTGATAAATGTCCTGATCTGAAAGCGGTGTCTCTTTCAAATCTTTGCATAGGTGATCTTCTGTCACGTGGCCCCGTTGATGCATTTGGACGTTTGCTAGCATGAGCCCTGGCATTGGCGACTAGGCGCCTCCTTGCGAATTTGCTTGAATTCATAACAGTCCTCTTGAGATAATCCGCAAGCTCTTCCTGATATCTGTAGATTTTCAGGAATCTTTCAATTTCCGAGATTAGCATCTCGACAAGATCAGCTATGTCTTTAGCACCACATTCCTGGACCAGTCTCGATGATGGACTCTGAGTGGAAATATTTTGCGCAAATTCGTGTCCCAGAAGGACCTGAAGACGTTTGAACCAATATGCATCTTGATAGACAAAATTGTCAAGTTGAAATTCACGCTTTGCACGTTCAATAGTCACTGATTCCCATAGTGAATGCCCGACTACTGTGTCGTAGTCATAAACAGCGCTGTCAATCCCAAGAACTAACCTTCGAGAAGCGTCGAGCTCCTCAAATTTAGATATCTCTCTCACTAGCATAAAGATAAGAATCTCGGCAGAGACGAGGTCCACATAATCGTGTAGCCGGGCGAGTCTCTCCCTTGCTCTTCGAGTAGCTTCTAAGTGACTGGCAGCCCCCATTCTATCGAGCCCTCCAGGCACCGCGGGATCTGGTACTTCAGCTTGGACAATACCTAAAAAGTCTTGTCGAATTGCTGCTTCACTCCCCTTTGTTGATATGGCTGGGTTATTTGCAGTAATTCTTGCAGCTTCTGGAGTTCCCAATCCGCAATGCCATTCAAACAGATCTGTAAATATCTCAAACCAAGTCACATTACTGAGATTTGAAGCCTGCAGCAAAGGGGCGGCATGCTCTTGAGGCATTAACTTGTAACTGACTCGGAAATTCCTCGCAGCCAGGTTCCGGAGCGTGAGGGCTAGGCCAAAGTTACCCTCGACAACGAGCTTTCCAGCACTGATAGTTGGCAAACGTGCAGTAAATACCTCTTGCTGTATTATGCTTTGTTTCGCCCCGTTTGAGGTTCTCTCTGACCTCAACGATTGGGTGCTGAGGGTTTCCACCATATCTCTAAGTTGTCTCGCGCGTGTGTGTATGATCTCTGCCAGTCCCACCAACTCTTGTGTCGATGCCACGATTGCTACTTCCTCTGGAGCTTCAAAATCCCTGGCTATTGCGTATGTTGTTCTATCATAGGCTCTTTGGATTGTACTGAATGTCCCATTTACGCAATTCAAGTAGGCATCCTCTAACGCAGTTCGGGACGCCAGCAAGCGCTCCATTTCAACTCCCCTACTGATATGAACCGCCTCAACAGCGTCATTATAAGCAGCTTGTGCAGGTTCAAGCCTTCTTTGTGCTGTGGCGAGATCCTCCTGGCCTGCTGGTGTTGGACTAACAGTCATCTCTGCCGTCGCAAACGCAGCATGGTCCCTAGCTGTTTTAAGCCTTTTCTGCGCGATCATCACATCAGTATCCCCGTCCGCTACTGCACGTGCCCTTGCCACTTCAAGATTCTCTCTTGCAGTTTCGAAGGCAGCGTGCGCTTCGTTTATTTCCCTTTTTATTCTGATTAGATTTACCTGTATTATGTAGATTATGTTAACTTTGACAATTCCTTGGAGCACATTTACGTATTCTTCTTACCCGACCAAAAAGATCTGTCCTATCTGTTTCCACAGCCCTCTGAAGGCCCGGCATTCTCTCTGCGAATTCAGCCCTCTCGCCTTGCCTTCTCCTTCTTGTCCCGTCCAAGCCCGACTGTACATCATCATACAGAATGTCCAATTCTTCACGGCGAGTGATTGCTGCGTTTATCTCCGCTAATGCCGCCGTCCTCGCTAATGTCTCTGCATTTGACGCTTCCTGAAGCTCTGTTACTGCATTAGCAATGCCTAGTTCCAATCTCTGTCTTTCTGGGCTCTCTGTGGTCGTGATATCTGGATTTGGGTTATTCGCTGCTGGTATTGCCATCCTGCTATGCGCATGTACTCGTATTTCAGCTTCGTTCAGGCGCAATCTCGTAGTTTCCGCAGTCTGCGTTCTGTTCAAATAGGTTTCCGTTGTACGGTCTAATTCCTCATTCCTACGCCCAGGGACAACATTTGGAAACATAGCTCTTGCATTGGTATCTAGATCAACCGCGCATGTGTAAACAGTTCTTGATACTAGTTCTGCTTCACTCGCTCTCTCTAAAGCACCAACTGCCATTAATCTTATTGCCGCATCCGCGGTCGCTTTAGCCACTGCTTCTTCCGCTGTGGTGGGTAAAGCAGCAACTACCCCCTGCTCTATCAAATCTAGCAAATTGATCGCGGTTGCTCTCAGGCCGTAAACCAACTGTGCACACTGTCTAGTTGCTCTCGCAGCCAACCTTGCCGCTCTCGTGAGCCCATCTACATCCCTCCCTCTGTTTTCATCCTGTATCTCCTCCGGTACGGTAGGCATATTCGACCTTGATCCTCCCAGAGTATCTATTGCCCTCTCCAGCCTTAACCCAAACTCGTTCCCGATTTCCGCTATGAAGTTCGTCTCCGAGGCCTTGTCAACTAGGTTAAACGCACAGAGCTTTGCCCTCCTGTTCGCTCTATGCACTTCTGCCAGCGAAACCGCTGTGGCGTCTCTCAGATTCCTCGCCAGCTTTGCCGGCGTCGTCATCCCGAAGCGTTTCGGCGGAGGTACCCTTGGGTCTGGAACCTCAGGCAAGATGGGGTGCTCCCAGCCAGTCAAGATAAAGGCTGTGGTGATTACATTGCTGAACGTTAGTTCTTTACTGACCTTACCGTGCGTACTCTGTTTGAGAAACCAGGCGGGGTTAGAGGCGAGTTTCTCCCAGGTAGGGATCGACGGGGCGCCGTAGGCGGTTTCGGGTGAGTCCACATCGAGGCCGAGAGTGAATGAGTCCATTTTCTCGAGAGGTGGGAGGATCGTACGATCAACAGGCTTTCTGAAGAGTACGGTGTCGTAGGCGCAAGGTGGGACTTTGAGGGTGTGTTTATAGGCGTAATGACTTAGCCTCTCCGCCATTCTGGTCAAATGATTAGTATCAACACATATAGCGATAGACCCGTCTGGGAAATACCCACAGGATGGGCGATTCACACGTAAGTAGGTTCCTGAAGATCAAGCCCAGGCCGACCGCTTCACCAACCACATAAGACAGGCATATATCGTCCCTCTCTATATCCCTAGTCTCCCCACCTGTAGTAAAAAGTTTGTCCCTCTCCGCCTTGTGCATATTGTACCTCATGTTGTATATATTCGTAAACTCCTCCGCCTCCTCTGGCTGCAGACCCTCGGTGTTTGGCTTCTGCGGTTTAAGTTGACCGGTTTCCTTGAACTGGCAGAGGAACGGCTGCCACTTGTGACCCGCCAAGAGCCACCTCACAAGGTCACAGAATATGAGATTCGAATGCGCATGTGGTGCCGCCCAGGATCTTAACGCGTGCGGGGCATCGTGATTTATCCCAAGGAACCTGTGCTGGCGGAGGATACAATCAACTATTGCGGTGATATCGATGATGCCCTTATCACAAGGACATGTGCGATCCGCATAGTCCAATCCAGGCCCATGGAGCTGGAGAGGACATGGAGGGTTGTCCTGACCGCGTCGGAACTCTGTGTCGGTGGGTCTGTTGAAATGGAGAAAGTTGTCGGGGCCGGTGTCTTTGTAGCCGGGGGTGCGGAGGATGTCGTTGGGGCCGTTTTCACGGAAGGGTTTGCGGAGTGAGGCGAGATAGCTTTGGCGCCCAGGCCCTTCTTCTTGGTCTGGGCCGCCGGCGCCGCGGAATATGTGCTCGAGTGTTGCGTCGAGAGCTGCGATACTACGGGGGACGTTGTTCCAGATTTTGATCTTGTGTCTGTTGAGGATCAGATCTTGGAATAGTGTTTGGAGCTGTGGTTTTTGTAAAAGGTTAATGGAAGGTTTCGGAATATGAGTATATAGCAAGACATACGTTTGCGCGGGTGTTCTCTACACTATGCTGCAACATGTACGCGATATGGAATGTCACCGTGAGGTATCGATCAACTTGTTCCGATTACACCACCATCAGCACAAACAGCTCATCCATCCGATAAAGCGGTTAAACATACCTGATACCGTGAGCAGACTCACCAGCTCGCGATCCTTCTCCACATATTCAACATTTACTTCCCCCTGATCATTACTCCATTTCGGATCATCAATATTCAAAATCCCGACTTTTCCCCTTACATACTCGGGTGCATACTGCTTCATCTCACAGCTAACAGCCACAGCTCTTCTAAACTGCGTATGTGAAGGGTGAAGGCGCTCATCTTCATGGCCCGGGAAATTGTTGATATCGTAGAATCGTATGTGGTCCAGTGCCGTTTCGATTAGGGATAGTGCTGGCTCTATCTGGCTTGGCGCCGTGACAGAGACCGAGCCAATGATCAAATCGTCAGGATTGGAAAAGTAATCTACTGGAACATTCTGTACGGGCGTCAGTACTGCAAAAATATATCAAAACTAGCAATTCATTACCTCGTCTGTATAGCCGTTATGGCAAGTTATCGCCCCTGTTTTCTTGTCCTTGGACCATTTCACAGGCTTAATGAAACCCTCACTTTCTTTGATCTCCCCCGACAACCATCGAAGAATATCCTTGCCAGTGCGTTTATCGATATCCACCCTTCTCATGGCCACAGCCATGACATTCCCAGCTTCTCTTCCCTCCTCCTCCAGCGAGAACCTCTGACAAGCCTGAAAGGCCACTTCTCGGCGAGCCTCCAACCTCCCGAATTTTGCAGTCTCCTGCTCAAGCGCCAAGGCATTCGCATGCGTAGATGCAACAGTCCTTCCGGATATCTCTTGAGTGGCTATTCTTTCATACTTGATCCTCCTGCGGGCAATCTGTTGGAGTCTAAGTTGCTTGCCGAGATTCAGCTGCAAGTTCTCGTCAGTGCTGCGGCCAATGAGCCGCCAGAGACGGAACTCGATGTCGAATGGGTCCCCGAAAACTGCCGTGCGGTGATGTATGACGCGGTAGTAGCTTACAATGACGAGGATCAGGAGAGAGTTCGTGATGGTAAATGGATGGGTGACGGGAAATACGGTGGCTTTTTTCAGCACCCATATCTCCAGGAACGTGAAGAGTAAGTAAAATAACCTAAGTACCCGTGTTACGTATATCCGCTCAGCGATGATTGTTATCCAGAATATCGCGAGGGTTTGGTAGGCGAATAGCCACGGATTTAGGTATACGAACATATCCATGGAGCCGAATTATTCTACAGGTTTTCGATATAAAGCTGTGAGGGCAAACAGAATTCAAACGGGGTTGGGCGCGATATCACTCCTACGATTTGCGAGCTATGGCTACCACCCGACTTTAATGACTTAATTGTTTGTGTGTGGGGGAGCGGTCAAAGGCCACCTTGTTTCCCAAGCAGGACAAACATAGTGCTAATCAAGCCTTTGTTCTTCTTTATCCCACACGTCGGCAACCGCCCTTCCTGAGCTTGTGTAGAGTTTCTTTGTTGTGACGCACAATATAAATTGTTGTCTTGAGTCAATCAATGAATATTATTGATGCCCAGACGACTTCTCGGCGGTGGAGGATTGGTCATGCCGAGGGCTGGCTGCGCTGGCCGTACGTAGCAATCGCATGTAAATGTATGCTATAAGCCTAAGCCTGGAAGTTGAATCTCGGGTTATAGGACATATTGAAAATCCGAATCCTTGAGGTTTGGACGTGCATGTAGCACATGTGGATATCCAATGTCTGAGCTGGTGAACATCCAAATCTCTTCGTCCGGATGCTACTTTGTGGATAAGATGAAATTCTTAGCTGGCCTGGTTGATTATATACCGTATACATAGCCATATCTCTAAGCTAGGCTACGTCTACAGAGGCTTACATATTTATTCCTTCTTTCATTACCTAAGTATATAAGCAAAAAACAAAAAGTATCTCCGATACATGTATGTCACACTCAGTGTCTAACCTGACGAGTTGTAGATTAGTACTCCAGCTATATAGAACCGCGATAAAGGCAATTAATTCACCCACAGAATTTTTAAATTCCAAGCTGGCTACTCTAGATAGAGGTGACTAACCGGGTTAGGCGCACTAGCATACTTGTTAGAATCTGTATTCCTTAACCCAGCTATCAATTACATGTATTCAGGCGTGATGGATGTGGCATGCTTTTTGATCATGCGTGTATACTTGTACGTAGGCCAGCAGCGGGTATGAAATCATCTCGTATCTCCAGAGTGATCGGATCACAAGTTATCACTCGCCCGTCTTCCCAGGTCTCGGCGAACCTGCCAGCGCAAATCCCAACTCAATAGCCAAAGAACTACATGTATACATGTATATATATTGTTCCCAATATTTAACCCAATATCCTAGAAATTATAAACAAAATACATATAAATACACCCAATACAATCAATTACACCAAACATTCAACGTCACCTGTAACATCCTCAGGAACTGCGCCTTCTCCACCGACATCTCCAGCAGCTCCTCATCAAAGTCCGACTCCGACTCCGAGTCCGAGTCCGAACTCGACGACGCCTCCACCTGCTGGATCATCTGCGCAACCTCGTCATTGATCTCGAAAAAGAGGGACGAAATCGTTACCTCCGGCGGCGGTAAATCCGGATTCCAGTCGCCTCTGAATCCATCCCTCTCCGCCGCGTCCTCTGCAGGGGGCTCCTCTGCCGGCTCCTCCGCCGGCTCATCTGCCGGGTCCTCCGTTTCAGGGACCTCTTCGAACTCGTCCACGTCCCTGTCCCATATAGGTAGATCATCAGTACCGTCCCAGTTCTGTTCCACGCCCGTGCCGTTGCACCAATCGTTCGCATCCCCATCATCGTCATCGGCATCGTAGTCCGCATCACCGCCATCTACACCCCACCCTCTCTCCTCCTGCCGTACCTCAATGACCTGCGGCGCCCCCGCCCCACGCAGCATCACGTCACCCCTCTGCGCCCGCGGCGGTTGTATCCTCCCCGCTCGCTCATCCCGCAATCGCTGCAGCGCGCGGTTGTCAGCCCTGAGGTCCAAGTAATGGCGTCCTGGCTGCGAGCGCTCGTAGCGGGTAATTGGTGTTGCTCTCTTGATGACTCTCCGCAGCAGCGGCATGTAGAAGTTGGTTGGGCTGTATGTGATGTCGAAGAAGCGCTCTGCGAGCGTTCTGGACCGATCACGCGTGTGGGGGCGGTTGTAGCGGAGGACCAGTAGGGCCCAGTGGAGGATGATGGGGTCGGTGGTGGCGAGCTCTGAGCTGGCTGTGGCTCTGGTGTTGCGGGAGAGGAGGGTGCGGAGGGCGGGCATGGTGAAGGGCGCGATTCCTAGGAGGGTTGCGGTGACGAGAGTGTCCCTGCTATCCTGGGCTGCCATAGGGCGCAGTCGCTGGACGAAATCCCGCTCGCGGGAGGCATTGAGTTCCTGCAGGGTTACAAGGCTTTGCAGCAGCGCCTTGATCTCTGCGGGCCTGTTGGCCCAGTTGTCGCGGTATTCGTTTTCTTCCGCGGGCTTGAGGAAGAGGCCGCCGCCTGTGACGGCGTGGTCCCGTGCGGTGTCGGTGAGAAGGTCTCGGGTTATGGTGAACCAGTTGGGGCCGTCCGCAACAACAGTGCTTATCAGTACATTTCTGGCGGCTGCAATGATTTCTAGATCTGCAGGCGTGAGCCCAACAAGCCCTAGCAGAGATGCGTCCAGTTGCTCGCGCATGGTTTGGACCCTTCTAATATCATTTTGATATTCGTGCATCAGCTTCAACTCAAAATACCCAATCACCATCTGCAGTATATCTGATGACATCGTCGCCCAACTTGGAGAATCAAAGAACCTGAGAATCTCATCCAAGGTGAACTGCCTTTGGGACTGTAGGTAACCAGCCTCTATCTCGTCTTGCCAACGGTTTGGTTCTGCAACCTCTTCTGCCTGTTCACCTCCATCACCGTCCCCACCACCACCACCACCACCACCTCTATCACCGTCCCCACCATCACCACCACCACCTCCATCACCGTCCCCACCACCACCACCATCACCACCACCACCACCACCACCATCACCTCCGTCATCACCTCCGTCATCACCTCCGTCATCACCTCCGTCATCACCCCCGCCATCATCTTGGTCATCCTCCTCAGGCCTCTGTCGACGTCTAAAAGGCGTCGCCACAATTTTCGAGACAACATATTCCCCAAAGGTCTTTGGATGCCTCCGCCAGAACTCCTCTAGGAAGTAGTAGAGCATTCTCCCCGGGTCCATAAATTCCACCTTTCTACGGGGGCGGTGGACAGAATTTCGGAGCACTTTGTCGTCTATCCAGGAGACCATGTCACATCGTCTGAAGGACGGATTGTCGACGTAAAGACGCACAGAATTGATTAATCTGGATGTGGCGTGCCATCTGCAGTCGACGTATTGGGGGATCTCTGGGCTGCTTGGCTCTCGGAGGAAATTGATATTGTGTGCACCCATCATTGGTTTGTTGCTCCAGAGTCTTAATCTTTCCAGGAGCCTATAGTATAACTAATCGTTAATATATGACATACATGACCTGTTAAATCGCTAAGCTGAGGGGTTCTCTTACAGTCTTGGATTTTCTGTAGTCATTAGAAAGCGAAGTATCATAGATATACCAAGAACATCACCAGTCACATATCCCAGCAGGACAGGGTCTGTCTGGAAGTTTGGATTCGCAAAAGTTCGAAACATTCGAGCCTTCGTCTCCTGTAATACCGCTGCCCATAGCCGATAGTTCGGGCAAGCACGACAGCACGCTGGCCCAGGTTCCTCCCATTGTAGGCATTCCTCCACGCAATCACTACCATGATACCGTGGCGCTGGTGGCGCCAGTTGTGCTGGAATACTGCTCTTGAGCATACGAAGAAGCTCCGAAGACCGGTCACCGTGTAGTAGGCACTGCTCGAAATCATTGTAGTTGCATCTCTCCCGGGTTTCTGTCCAGGCCCGTATGTCAAATTGGATTCCATCGTCATCGGCAGGCTCTAGACCAACGTCACGCATGATAAATTCGACCATTACTGCCAGGTCGAGATTGTTAGACCGGCACGGACAGGGGTGCCCATAGTTATCGACGGCACCGTTATGGAATCCATAGGGGCATCTTGTCCCCCATATCGTATCTGGGCCAAAGTTGAATTGTGCGGGACGGGGCGTATTAAAAACCGCGCGCTGGCCGTCATCCCGGAGCCTGAGTTTACAGGTGGGGCGGAATAATGCAGCCCTTTCAATGAGTACACCGCCCCTTCTCTCGACATCATTAAATTGTCTTCTCTGGGTCCCTCGGTAGATTTCGTCGAGAGTGGCATCCAGAACAATAATGTCTTGTTGAGGATTAAACCAGACCTTGATGATGGTTGTATCAAAGATGATTTGTTCAAAGATGGCTGCGAACTGTTTCAGTACTCATGTCAGCATCTTATTACTACAACTGGTTAAATGATATATGGGGGCTCCAAGTACCTGCTGCAATTGATCAGCGGTCTCGATGTTCCGGATCATGTGCAAAATATGAAAATTAACCACGAGGACTTTGTCAACAGCAATGCTCATACATGAAGCTAAATGCTGATCCTCCTCTAGAGGAAGATAGTCTCGATTTTCTGCTCGCGCTGTGCCATCTAGGATAATATTTCCATCCGGCCCAATATCATACCCATTTGGTTGGCGAAATGACAGATCTCCAAGGCCTCTTAAGGCCGCCACACCCTGTCTATAGAACTCTGTTGGAAATACCAAAAACTCCACGTCTATTCCCACGGCATACTTGAACTGGTTGCGTGAGGGCTCTCTCGTGGTGTAGTATGGAAGGTTTCTCAATGTCTGTTTGATTAGGTTGATTGCAGGTGCAACTTGGTCAGGACGCTCGACCGATACGCAATTTGTGAAAATCACAGTCTCATTTCCAGGAGCCGGGAGGTTCCTGTTTGAATCCGGAGTAGTGGCAAATGAATTGTGACATTGGAGCCTGTCCCCCTCGGTCCACCAAAGCACCTCCCTAATCTCAGAAGGATCGGTGAGAGCAATTCGAGGTTCGGCACCCGGCAGCGGTTGGGGCCTGCGGTATTTGACATACTCAAGGAAATCATATGCATGGTATCCAGAACGCTGAACATCTTGAGGACTAGATAAAGGATTATCCCTCCTGCGCTCCTCCTCAAGTCGAACAATGTCAAACAGTTCTTTTTCCTGTAGCTCAATGGCTATGGGTATGTTTCTGCGGGCCGCTTCCAGCGCTATATCGGCCTCTGAATCCACCTTGTTCTCGGGGTCCACGAACCCGGGAGTCCCAATGCCTTGATTTGGGGTCCAACTTAGCCCAAGGATGAACCGACCCGTAAAGGGAAGTCGATAAATATAATAAAGACCGCCATTTAAAATTATCAGTATAGCAGAACTCAGGCGGTAAATATACCAGTAACTCGAACCTTGAGTATCAAATTGTACCCATTGAAGCAATGCGTGCACACAGATAGAGATGAAGGCACAAATAATTATGAGCCCTAGATTCCGGCCCGTTTCTTCAGGGGTAAACCCTCCAATGTGGCTAGCCCGGATGAAGTTCAATGCCAGCAACGTGCAAAGAATAATCCATTCTAGATCTGTCATTTCTTGCGAATCGAAGTCCAGGCAGGTACAGTCAAAAGGGAAAAGTATATAGAAACTGTTCCCTCCTTGAATAAAGTGGTATCAAATTACGTCCAATGGTAACCGGGATATATAAAGGGGAATTTAATAAAATGGGTGTGATACCTGCACTCCAATACATGCTATTACAATACCTTATAGAGTTTTTACTGGGACCTTGCCTTTGTTTCTGGGAAGGTAGTTTCTAAACGCCTGATTTGGCGTATCAATAAAGAATTTGAGAAGTAGTCATTCAGATAAAATAATAAAGCAGTCGCTTCGAATGTTCCTCAAGCATGATCCAATATGTTTAATTCCGAAATTAGTATATTAGTAGGACTCGGAATAAAACCAGCAATATTAGGAGAATAGTGGCCTCACCAGATGAATGGCCGTTTAGCAGGTCAAAATAGCACAGTCAAATCAGTATATAAGTAACGCAATCATGTTTCCTTTGTCTTATTCCCCCCCCCCCCCCCCCCCAGAAAACATTATACAATGTCTTGGCCGGTTCCACACTCGCTGTATCCGCTTCCCTTTCTGTATGCATATGAATCACGCGAGCCCCTTTGTTCGAAAATTTATGAATCCCTTGCAGGGAATTATCCTGCTCGAAAGTTATGCCCTAAGCTATTATTAGTCATGTAGATACATCTATTTTGAACACGGAGCTAGGATATAAGTTGTGACTACATGTACTCTCCCAGTGGCTAGGTATCATACATGTATTTTTCACTCATCTCCGGCTCCAGGCTATCGAGAGGCCCATGGTTAACCTTTTTTAGGCTTATTTGATGCCAACACACCCGAATGTTTTATACCTCGGGGCAGGGACCCTCGTTTCTCGAGAAAGTTAGGCCACTCCTCCAAAAATACTGATGCCTCGAGACACCTGCCTGCAGAGTACATGCAGCGGCACTAGTACAATGCATATGATACCGGATGTGATAATAAATCATATTGTGGCCCTGACCAAAACTCGATTGCTTTTAGTAAAAGAAAAGATCCGTCACCAAGATCATCATGTTATTACACGTATACCATATGCTCTCCCTAACTTCTAAAACTTTAGGGGCGAAGGGAAAACAGCATTCCCCACACAAAGTTCGAAAATTCAATGCAGATATCTCAAGTATGATAGTGTCGTATATCGGTTTGGAATCCATCAATGGCCTTCTAACGGAGGGTACGCGGTCGGAATCCAAGCGTCCTAAATCAAGTGTAAGGTTAATCCATCAACTACCAATGATAATATATCCACTTGGATACATTGTGGTCCTGGATAGAGAATGCTGGTCGAAATAATCCCTTGTTAATCGAGCCTTAAACATACAATGAAGCTTAGCCTACTAGCTGCCGCGCATCCGAACCACGTTTTGGATTGCGTGTCGGAAGACAACCGGTTGGCTAGGAGATCTAGATGTTATGTGATGTACGTACGTATGTATGTATAAAAAGCTTGAACCTACATAACCACATACGGGTACATGTAACGTTATAACTCTAAACGGACCATCTAGAAAGGTAGTGACCAATGATTCCGAAACGTAAAGTACGTATTACTAGGGGTGTGCCAACTCGCGACTGCGAGTTGTACTTTGGATTATGGGTATCAAATAAAATTTAATTCTCCCTCTACAATCATGAGGGGCCTTCGGCCCCGTCCTCCTCTCAACGCTCAGCACTTTGATGTGTCGTGCTTACTAAACACCCTGCACCTCTCGACCAATCAGATGCGCGAGAGTTCCACAAAACCTTTAATCTAGTACATAGTAGATTCCCCAAATCTTAACAGGAGGTTGTTTTCTTACCTCCCCTATTCGCAGGTAATCTTCGTTAGAATAGATGCAATCAACTTCAGATTCAATAGATGTACCTTCAAGTATGTAAAAGACGCGCATTTTATGGCATTTATGGGTATAGTATAACTAGACAATCCAGTCTTCGACACTTTAGGCCAGAATCATAAGATACGATGATGCAGGACAGCAGTGTGGAATACATGGTTATGAAGAACAATTCTTTTTCTTATTCGGGGTCTTTATGGAATTAGTATCGTTGTTTTCCTGCATGTGCCCGATGCTCCCCAATGCTCCTAAGAAACTCAGGAACGGGGGTCCTAAACCAATCTTTCTAGCCCTAGCCAGCACGAGGGTAATAGAAGGATGCCCATTCGTCTTCTTGCCTGCCCCGAGTATCGCAAGCGGCCTGCCGTAGAGCCGAGAGATATGCCTCAAAGGGCTTCGTGATATTCAAGCCTTTTTGTTTTGCTAAGCAAGCTTTCCTTGCTTATCATTGATTGGTACATAGTTGCAACCTCCACAATGCTCATCACCTAATCTAGAGTAGTGCCCATGGGGACTCCAGAGACCCTAGTTTTATAAAAAGCAAAAAGCCTCTCTTCGTAGTGATGGTGTCGTTGCGTTGTTGTCGATCCACATACATACGCGTACACACGGACCAGGCAATGCTTTCCGAGTCAACCCCAATAATTTCAAACCTCTGATTGAACACTATCCGACCGCTTGATTTGGTGTTCTTTCCTTTCTAACGTTCGACGTTACGGAGCGGAGGAAGCGCCGTTCTTCCCCTTAGAATTTCGGTATCCTCCCGGGCCGGTTCTCTCCAGGATGTGGGTGGGTTTGGGCCATGGAATTACCTACATGCACAGTAAACTTCAAAAACCCTCGTAACTACAGTACATGTAATATGCATGTTTATCTGTATTCTACTGTCAAGTGTTAGCGACTTGTCGATCACAGGTTGGAGAAATACATAGTGTACCTACAACATGTGTATGGAGGGGGAGGGTCCCTTGTCACCCGGTTTGATAGGCTTCCGAGAAGTTTATAATTTAATATGCAGCGTATCTATTTCAGCCAAAATTCCACTACCTCGATAATTCAGCGACACGACGCCTGCATCTAAATGCCTCTGATTCTGAAGATTCGCTCGTGCCACGAGATTAAAGAATTGTGGGGCTTTTTCGGTAATGGGAACCACTCTAGAAACCAATCCCTGTGGCGGTCTGGCGTCCTAGAGTCTGCACGTGTTTTTCCATAAATAGTGCGCCTAACGCCTACACGGTATTCACTTAAGAAATGAGCGGGGTGGAATAAGCAGGCGAAAACACAGCCGCACTCCGATCATGAGGGGGTGATAACATGTAGAAAGAGGGTGGTGGAACAGAAATTTGGATCGGAATGAAACAGCAGGAAGTGAAGAACTTCCTTTCTTTTGCTGCGCGCAAGCTAGAGCTACATGTAGTAGAGATGACTGAAGACGCGTCGTCGACTGTGTGAGTGGACAAGTAGGGTCTGACCTGCCGACATGTATGTATGTAGAGTACTAACTCCAGGTGTTAGTGCGTGAACAAGCGAGTGTATGAGCGTGCCACCAAATTGAGCGGTCTTTGAATACAGTATGATGGGCCACATAGACTTAGTCTCCTAGCTATAGTACCCGTTTATTCCTTCTTGACCGTCAAGTACATAATAGGATCATAATCTCATCATCAGTTCTCAAACACACTGCGCGCGTGTGTACCTACATCATTTTCTATTATTATTCCACCCCCAGCGCATTCCTGACAACATTCCGGGTTTTATATCTCCTCTGCGTTCAACAGTGCCAACCTCTAGCTAGGCAGTTCAGTTCTCTAGGCAGTTCAGTTATAGATTAGCTCCCTTATTCCAGCGGCTTATTGTTCTAAACCGCAGTTCTCACATTCTATGGTAACGAAGCACACGATCCTCCCTTCCACCTCCCCCTCGAACTTCTGTGACCCCCATCCTGTCCACCATCACCATATCATAATCGTCTTCGTCCGCCCAACCCGAACATCGTTTTGATCCTAAACAACACTTTCACTCTCTGCCCATCCACATACCCGCAGAATATCCTCGTTATTTCGACCACTGCTAAATCCTGGAGTCACGATTGTAGAGTGTTAATCTCTCTGAACCTCCGGTCAGTCACGGCCCCGGAGATCAAATACAGCAGACTACACCTTCAAAAATGCCTGCTCTAGATGCCCTCAGGGATAAACTCCCGAATAGAGTTGTCCTCTCGTAAGTTTTCTAGATTGTACACCAAAGATGTTTGATTGCAGACAACTAACGCGTCACACCAGCTATGCCTTTGACTATTTCATCATCATGTTAGCAGCCCTCCAGCCTTGATTTCACCACGAGATTCGACTAATCCCATAACTTGATCAGATTCTTCATCATCGCATTTTCAGCACTCGATTCAGCGGAGCCTCATCACCAGCGTTTTTCGCTAAACAACGAGTCGTTGCAATACCCATATGCGGACCCTGAGCGAATCTCAGCTGCCGAGGCAGGTGTGATTGCTTGCTTGTTCCCTTTGATATGTGTAATCTTCTGGACCATGATCATAGATGGTTTATATTCGCACCACAAACCAGCACAAGCCAGGAGACGTCTCTTGGGCGGGGGCGGTAAATGGACGATGGCGGACAGATTATGGGAGATGAACTGTGCAATTTTAGGGTTGGGGTTAAGCGTCGCGGGATCAATCGTAATTACCGGCGCACTCAAGAATACGACAGGCAAACCAAGACCTGATCTCATCGCGAGGTGGGTTTGAGACACTTCTATCAAAACTTGTGGATGGAATGATTCGGGGCTCCCTCAAGCTTACAGGGCTTGGGCAGAGACGAGTAAAACTGACGATATGAAATAGGTGTATACCAAAGCCTGGAAGTGAGAACCAGAAGCCATGGGGTCTTGTAACAAGTGACATTTGCACGCAAACAGATAACCACATCCTCAAGGACGGTTTCAAAAGCTGGCCATCCGGTCATTCCAGCAGTATGTTCCCACAACCTTGGATTTTCTTCAGAAAGCTGACAACACCAGTTTCATTCGCTGGCCTTGGTTTTCTATCATTTTTTCTAGCTGGTAAACTTCACGTCCTAGACACCCGTGGGGAAGCCTGGAAAACCATTCTGGTTATCATTCCTCTTCTTGCCGCTAGTCTTGTTGCCGTCTCTCGAATTATGGACGCCAGGCACCACCCTTTTGACGTTATAACTGGGGGTCTGATGGGATTTTTGGTCGCCTGGGCATCGTATCGCCAATACTACCCTGCTATCACCGATACTCGTAAAAAGGGCCGTGCCTACCCAATGCGATCTTGGGGGACTGATGAGGCAGACCGAAAGCTTGGCTATGATGCTGCAGGACAGTTCAACAGTGGGCTCGTAGCAGACGAAGAGGAAGGTCAAAAACTCGGCGTTTTCAATCCACAGCCATCCCCAATGCCATTGTCAGGAGCTGGTCTTTCGGGTGTTGGCGGAACAGGTATGGGCTTTATGATGGAACGAACAACTAGCAGCTTCTCTAACGAGTCCGCTGCAATTCAAGCCCGAAAACGCGAAGCCCAGAGGGCTGCCGGACGAAAGAACGGATTCTACGATCGCGATGATGAGTTCGTACATAGTTCAGAGGAAGGTATCGAGCTCCGTAACGCCCCTCAGCCCCTCCGAACATCGTCATATCCGCCACCGACAGGGAAAAGTGATGAAAGCGGAGACACTAGCTGGGGGATTAAACGGGCAACAGAGGCCATAACGGGAGCAGGAGCTGGTCAGGTTGGTGGATTCGAGCCGGTACGAAGGTCGGACACAGATTTTAACAATTTTGATATTCAGAGTACAGCTATGGGCAGCCGGGAATTGAACAGGGGGGGATCTGGAGGCTCGACGAGCCCACTAAAGGAATAAGTGCATTGAACGATGGCAGGGTTTAATTGTGATTTATCGTTATCTTTTTCTTTACATATTGATACCTGTTGAGTCACATCTGCTTTGGTCTCGTTCTCTGGATGATAGAAAATTGATTGTTGATACCTTGTATTTTTGTACTTCATTTTTATTACCATTTATTTATTTTCGTTTTTCTTTTTGTCGTTTTCGATAGCAACCATGCACTAGGGCTACCTATTTGAGCGAATATCCACAACTTATTTTTCCTCGGCATGTTCTTTGTTCAGTTCTTCGTCTTTCTTTTTCTATTGCTTGTTTGGGATACCGCGGCTTTATCTACATACTTTCCCTTATTTTCTTTGTTCGTTCCGGGATTGGGGGTCAAGGAGGGAGGTCTATGTGTGAATAGTTCGAATTCGAAAGTTGAATGAATGGAACGACCTGAGAACACCATTTTCCTCACATTTGGATTAGGAATTCTTGGGCCAGGGACGTTCATCCTCCGCCGGAAGTCCCCATTCTCGATGTTTCAGGAGGCGCCCTGAGAGGTCCGCGGGGTGCCTTTGGCTTCGTCAAGCACTCTTCTCCGAGAAGGGCTCTGTCTCCGGTCTACTGGAGTGTGGCGCTGGTAACTGTAACTAATCTCAGTCTAATTAGCTAAGCCTAAGCCTCGAGAATATGTCGCGCGTTTGGCGCGTTTAACAATACCCGCGTTGCCCATAACAACCATTCAACATTCTTGAGAACATAAAGTTTAACACCATAGTATTTGTGATACATGAGCCTTGCATATACATATATAATATATTACCATTTGCGTATAATTTCTGCGGCGATATACGAATGCATTAATGAAGTCCTGTTAACGCGCGAGTATGCGAGATGAGTTAATTTTGGCAATTTTTGCCGGTGCTCATGCCAGGCGCGCGGGTATTCCCAAATACGTGTGAAGAAAGAAACAACTTACGCCCAACTCTCGAGCATCATGTGGCTTGCATGCGCTAGGTCTTCCGAGGTCCCATATTGGTACGTACATAAGCGCCACTAAGGCTCAACTACGATTTACTTTACATACTCAGGTCTAGTAGCACCTACATTTACGTATTTGCTACTACATATGCATACATCAGTATACGTATACGAAGTCGAGTATATGTAAGTAGAGTACATGTACTAAGCATCATGCTATAGATATGTACCCACTGTACATACAGTACCAAAAAGGGGGGTGTATACATTACCGAAGTAATACGGTAGTAATAGAGCGTATTTGCCAACCGTCAATTTCAACTATTGACACTTCAAACTTGACAGTTTCGGGAGGCAAAATTGACAGTTCCCCGCAGTGGCCAAAATCGATCTGGTTAACGGTATGACAGAATAAACCCCGAAAACCAGACAACCCATCACGCTACCTGTGAAGTACGCTGTTGGAACTGAAAATTCATACCCATGATACTAGCTTCGGTAGTAACAAAACTGGGTACTTGTGATCCTCCTGGTATATCTCACAGCACGCCGCCGCACCGAAATTCAAAATTAACAGCCCCGGTTGCCATTTCGGAGCCCCACAATTTGTAAATTCTTGAAATTGACGGTTGGCAAATACGCTCTAATACCGCTTTTTTTTTGATTAGAGAGTATTTGCCAACCGTCAATTTCAAGAATTGACAAATTGTGGGGCTCCAAAATGGCAACCGGAGCTGTCAATTTTGAATTTCAGCTGGGCAGCGTGCTGTGAGATATATGAGAACCACAATTACCCAGTTTGGCACCACTGTAATTAGCATCATGGGTATGAATTTTAAGTCCCGACGGCGTATTTCATAGGTAGCGTGACAAGCTCTTTGATTTTCCGAGTCTATTGTCATATGCCCAACTATACCATTAACCGGATTGATTTGGCCACTGAGGGGAACTGTCAATTTTGCCTCCCGCAACTGTCAAGTTTGAAGCGTCAATAGTCGAAATTGACGGTTGGCAAATACTCTCTATTACCATATTCTTTCCATTACTGGTTTATTTCGGTATTCTGTGCAATAAATAGTTCCAAAAATACTGCAATGTTGGGTGATTACCGTAATTGCCAGAATGCGTATTGCACCAAATACCGTATCAATACCGTATCAATACTGAAACCTATCACCGCACATCGCCGCACATCGCCGCTAGCGGCCCGCGCCCCCACTAGTGGCCGCTCGTCCCCCTGTATACGTTGACTGCCACCTTGTCAGGTGTACAGACATGTACATCATGATCAACAGCTTCAAAAACCTCGCCTACATACACATACCCAGCATCAGTATGATGTACATGTAGGTACTCATCAATCTGAACTGATACCTGGGTATATAGGAGAAGAAAATTTTATTTTTCAAAAGTAGTTTGCAACTTTTGCACCCCCATCACCGGAGGATTGAAAACCATGAAGATATTGATAAATTAATATCTGACGATGTTTCATAGGTCAAGGGTCATGAGATACTTCATGGTCAAAATATGCATTAGGGTTAGGTGTTTAATATTCTCTAGAATGCCGTAGTAATACTGTAGCTAAAGCAATACCATACTCTGTAGAATACTGTGCTACCCTAGAATACAGACTGCGGAAAACACCGGCATCCATCCAAATGCGCATTTCACATAATAAGTATTGTAGAGACTACTGTATTTCTGTGTAGACTACTACCTTGCTAGGACTACGGTATAGCTATGGTATTGCGTCACAGAATACAGTAATCTACAGAATGTGGTATTTGTCCGGTATTGAGAATACCCCCCTTTTTGGTACTGTAGTACCAGCTACATGTCTTTAGTCTAATTATAATTCAATAGGGCTAGCTAGAACAGTGTCGATCACTCCATGCAGTTATATTTAACCATGTCTTTAAGCACATAATTGCATTTTCCCTTTCCTCCGAGGCCGACAAGTACATTGAGCTTGAATCAGAAGTATTCAAAGCACCTTACGCAAGTTTCAAGTTGTCCTAGGACCATGCATATGATTTTCTCTGCATATACTTGTATACTGAAGCATTCAAAATAATTAAGAGGAGGACCTTAAAACTTTGATTAATGGACAGATACCGTTTTAAATCATGAAAACGTACGACCACGCGATGACCAGTATATAAACACGCACCTCCAGCACTAACAATCGGTATGTAACTTAGAGCAACTCAAATCAGTTAATTGGTTATTTATCTACTAGATTCATCTCATCTTTACCTAACCAATTGTTACTTTTTTTTTACCTCCGCCTACGCAAGATATATATTCAACATGCCACCAAGAAATGTTCATTACGCTGATCGGACTGTCTTGGAAAGCCTTGCTTGGTATTATTGGGTTTTCAACCCTATCATGATTGGTCTATAGCTATATGGCCCTTTCCGCACCATTATGGACCTCTACTTACGAAGGGGTCTAGGCCAAATTCTTCGTCTTTTATTCGGTTGCTGTGGGTTCTTCCGCAACTACATTTTACTCTTCCTCGCCGCTATAACCAGGCTTTTTTACTGTCCTCCAGCGTTATAGACTTCATTCACCACCCTATGATGCGATCTCGATGATTCCGTTTCCGCATCTCCCATTAGCTCACTAAGATTACTATCATTCTCGGTATCTATCATTTCTTCTGCGTTAATGCGCGCCTACATTAGCTATCTAACAGTAGCGCCCACTCTCTGCTGGTTGGATTAGTAAGGATTGCCGCAGCTTGCTGGCTGCAGAGGTGACCTATGGCGATTTCCTGATAAGTGTGCCAGGAGTACGTACCCGCAGTCAAAGCCTATAATTTTCTAACTGCACCAAGCACATATAAATATGTCAAATTGCTTAAATCCCAAGCGATCCAAAAGAGAGATCGTGCGGTTTTCTTCCTGCAGGTATCAGCTCAGACTATCGCAGATATCGATCGTTCGGACTGTTACTGAAAGTATGCCGTTTTCGAGCGCGACGTTTTTTTCGAAAGAGGAAGTTGTCCTAGGAGCCGGGGCCTCAGAAACAGCGGAAGAGACAAAAACGAGAGAGGGAAATACTGGGGCAAGAAAAAACTTCGAATAAGGCCACTATGATTAATTCGGAACATACGCCATTATCAAAGCCAAACTAGAAGGGGTCAGCTGCGAATGATATATAATCAAGGTACAAATGATTTGGGTGGAAGCAAATCCACGGAAATTACGAACGAAAGAGTTGAATTGCTAACTCAACCTACCCTTTATCAAAAGCTTTTTAAAACTTGTCCTAGGATTATTAAGAACTTTTCCACGAAGGTTTATCTGTCCGCTCGCTCACTATATTACACCATGGGGTTAAGGTTTGCGGTTTTAAGTCTTCTAAATGGAGATATGTCTCTCTTGCAAGGGTTACGTGCAGCCACGAACCACCTTTGGTTGGCTTTTCTTAGGGGTTTATACGTTGCGAAAATAGTACACTCTTATGTGGTTATACTATGGGCTCAAGTACAGGGACAGGTACTAATAAATGATGGAACGCCCTGGGATACAGTTATACCTGCAAACACCGTATGTTGGTGGCGTTTTACCCAAAATAGGTATCACTGTGTCTCAGCGTGTTCCATCACTTATTACCTTCCGCTGTATATCGCAATCTATATCATAATATCACTACAGCTAGATATAGCTTTATATCGATTGATCATAATACAGACCTATGGGACTTACATTTCTTTCCGAACACAATTGAGAACACAGAGAAACCTCAAACATTTACCAAACAGCTTTGAAAACATACTGATAGTCTAGATCTTTTTGGTTTTTGCTATAGCTTGACATACTAGCACTTACTAGTAGCTATATATAACCAGCTCGAGCTATCCTTAATTGTAGAATCGCTCGACTAGACACATGTATGTATAATTATATATAAGCTGCGATAACGATGGCAAGTTGAGGATACTAGATATATATATATATAACGAATGCTACTTCCTGTGCAGAATTTATAATTATGTACATACTCGCTTGTCAAGCATGTATTTGCCCAACCAGCAA